AAAATGGAAGTTGATTTAAGAGCCAAAAATAATGAATATTGGCTTCATTGGATAGTTATTTTATTTTAAATATTTTTATCTTCAAATCTTAACATAATTTCGAAAAGGAAAGTAGACATGTGACATTAGTTAAGCTTGGTTCCTGGAATTAAATTCCAAAAGCTATACCTAAGCAAAGTATGATTTAAAAAAAAAATAAGTAAAAAGGTCATTACGTGGTCCATGGTAATTTTATTTAACATTTTGAAAGTATAGTTTTGATAAACCTATTGTTTTCAAATTTTGTATCCCATTTTTAAGAAAACAAGAAACATAAAACATCGTGGACCACATCCTAATTCTCAAGAATCCAAACACTAAAAACGTCACCAGACCATTTAACAAATTATGAATTAGTTTGATAAAATTTGATTGATAGAGTGGTAGTAAGTAAAGTAATTACCTCATGGCCATAGTAAGTTTCAGGGCCATAGGAGAATTTGATGCCAGGGTAAGAGCAAGTGAGCTTCCTTCCACAGGGAATCCATGAAATGGTAGAGCCTTCATCAAACAAATAAACTGGGTTGAAAAACTCCACCCCTTCCTTCATTATCAGCCTTACTCGCAAAACTTTTCCTTCATTATCATTTGGAATCAGCTGTGTTGGCAACACTTCTATCACTGCATCTGCATATTGCTTCTGTGGGTCTGCAAATTCATATATCACACATTAGTTTTCTGAAAACCCCTGCTTTCTTGGACATCAAAAGAACTTTCTTTCTTTACCGATGTAGGCGTCGAAGTCGGGTTTTCGGGCTTCGATACTCGCTTTGATGCTTTCGAGACTGTGTCCTCTCTCAGCCATGTCCCTCTGTAATGGTGTTTGAAGCAGTTAGATCGTAGGAAAAAATGGGGGGAAATGTATTTTAGGGTCCAGTTTAAAAACTTTTTTTTTTTTTTATGCCTTCTGAAATAAAAGTTTTGACTCGTTTGAGAAATTGTTTACAAAAGGAATTGTAAAAAAAATATATGATTAGATGATTTGTAAAAAATAATGATATTTCTGCACGGTGAAACCAATGTTTACCAACTTCACCTGTTCTTAAAACTAGTTCATGCAAACATGTTCTAAAATTTTGTTTTAGAAAATAGAACATTGATTAGACAATTTGGAACCTGAATTTTCCATGCAAATTTAACTTCGTTGCTGATGTCCAAGTAGATACTGAAGTCCAAAAGGTCTCTTACTCTCGAATCATACCTATTTAGGGAAAAGGGAAGTGCTCAGTCAGGCATTAGTCAAACAGAAAAATTAAGTTTAGCTTCCCAATTATACCCTGCTCCTTAAGCCTGCACATACTGGTTAATGAGTAATTTAACAGGGCACATGTCTTTTTTTTAATTTATTTAATCAAGTGACTTTTATGACTACATATTTGTTTCATAAAGCATCATTATAAAATTTAAAATTGTTAGTTAATCTTTCTTTGCTGTAACATTTTCTTTGATTCTTAGAATACACCAAATACACAAGCACAGAAAACCATTAATATTTCATGCTATAGACCCAAAAAAGAAAAGATATAGATAACCATTAAACTTCTAATACCTCAATGTGTAGTTAAAATCCTAACCTGGTAAACTATAATAAAATTCAAATTACTAATGGAGAGCATATAAATCTTTTGCTTCTATTGAATATTGCCATCCACCTCAAAACATGATTAAGTTTGCACTGTTTTTGTGCTCTTTTCCTTTTTCAGAATTAAATTTGTACACTGTACCCAATTATTTGGATTAAAATCTTCTCACTCTTAATTACTTGATAGAAAATTCTTAGAGATAGGAATGAAAAACTCACATGGGGTGCAAGCCTTCAATGACAAGGATTTTAGGGGGTTTAATGAGCTCAGGAGGGTCAAGAAGGCCAGTAACATGATTGTAAATTGGCTTATCAACAGCCACACCAGTTTTAAGAGCCTTGACTTGTTCATACATAAGGTCAAAATCGTTGGCTTTTGGGTCCAGTGCTGTGACCCCCTTCTCCTTCCTCCCTGTTCTGTCCAATGAGTGGTAGTCATCTAAGCATATGACAGTGGTTGTGTCACTGATGAGTGTGTTCGAGTCTGGGTTACCGCCCTTTGGTGGCTCTGCTGCCCCTCCAAACACACTTGTCAGCCTCCTCATGAACGTGCTCTTCCCACACCCTGAGTCTGCGGCCAGACCAATCACCACTGTCTGTTGGTCACCCGCAGAGCAGGTTATCAGATAGCGGTTGGCGACACTGCTTTGACCGTCTCTTTTACTGCTGCTGCTCCCTTGCTTCTTGCCATTGCTGTAGAAAACCAGTTGGTGCTGCTTCTGGTGGAAGCCAAACTGGGTTTTGATTGGTGTGTGGCTTGTTGAGGAGAAGGTGGAGTTTAGAGATTGGGTTGTGTAGACTGTACAAACTGCCATTCTTTTTTCTCTCTCTTCTCTCACTCCTCTCTCTTACAGTAGTTGAGGGAGTAAAGAAGAAGATAGTCTAGATTGGGGGGGGAGGGGGGGGGGTGTCTTTTTTTCCTTTTTTTTTTTTCCTTTCTTTCTTTCTTATCTTCTTGTGTATGGAGGAGAAATGAAATGGGGGATTTTGGCTTGTTTTTGCTCCTTTTATATGTTTTCAAGGCTAAATCTGGAACACAACTGAAACAGGAGGCTGAGGATGTAGGAGAGAGAAGGGACAATTAAAACTTAAAGAGCCACACAAAAAAATCTGTTTGGAAGTGATGAAAGTTGGGCTGTGTGCTTGTAATGGAAGACTAGGAAGAGAGGGGTCACAGATGACATTGTTTGAATTGTGGTGCACCAGGAACGTCTGAAATAATAATTTTTACTTGGTAAGAATCTTCCGAATTCAACACTACTAAAAATTTGACAGTTATATATTTGTTCGACTTCCTTTTGGTATTCCTCTCGGTTAGTAGATGATTCATGCCAACCAATCCGAAAGCTGAGTATTATTCTTCTTGAAATGTTTTATTTGTTAAATTAAGGATAAAGGGATATTTGAGTTTGCATATCAGAAGAAGAGAAGGGGTGTGGAATTGTTGATGAGGAGGCTGTGATGAAAAGAGGCATGGAATAACAAGGTGGGGATTTGTTGGGAATTTGGATATTTGAGTGACACGTGGCAGCAAAAGGATGGCTGGTTCAGGATTGGGAGTGGGAGGTGAGGAATGGAGGGGAGATGGAGACTGGAGAGAATGCAATTGCTTTCCCCATCCAATCCAATTCAATTAAATTCAATCTTTGGACTCTTCAGGTAAATTTAGTTCTTGTTACAGAATATAATAGCACATCTACAGTAAAGAAGATGAAAAAACACCAAACATATAAATTTTGGTAGGAAGAAAAAAGTTCTGAGATAATAGTTTGGTTTTCAAATTTCTATATTTTTAATAAACGGTTAAATTATAAGTTTAGTATATACACGGTTTAATATGTTATTAAAACTCTAAAAAATATATCGAATAAACTTTCAATTTTGTGTCTACTCTATCCCTAAACTTTAAAAAATGGCTCAGACATTTCTAAACTTTCAATTTGGTATTTATTTCATGAATTTGTCTACCATATCTATGATTTATGAGATATTTTTTTCTAAGTTTGGTGTCTTATAAGATACTTTCTAAAGTTGGGGATATCTTATCAAGTTTATTTGGCAGTTTGTAAAGTTTAGGGATTATTAGACCAATTATATACAATTTAAAAATGGATACATAATTTCTCTGAGTTTTTAATTGATAGAGGGGGGAAATTTTTGTTAACAAGGAGGCTTAATTTATATTGAGGTATCAGTATATTAAAAACAAGGTCATATTTTTTAGTTTATTCAATACTATGTAGGGTGATTACTCTAACTGTCGACTTTTTTGTCGGTGATATATGTAAGCTATGTTCGGGTAGACTTTTTTTTCTTTTTTCTCTCCTTTTTATACCTACCGCACACATACTTTTAGAGAGGGAGAGGAAAGTGTTGTAACATATTGAAACAAGCCATTTTAAACTGGTTAAATTATGTGTTTTGTTATTGTATTCCATTATTTGTATTAATTTGATTCTGATCTTTTTGATAAGTTTTATTTTACTTCATATATTTTAGTTTAATATTTTGGTTGAATCTCGTCAATAGTTGATGTGATTAGAGAACATCATTAATATTGATGTGGGATTAACTTAAATCTATCTAACTTATTTTGCATGTATTAATACTTGTTAATTTTTATCTCAAAAAAAAAAAATATATATATATATACTTGTTAATTTCCTTTTCTAATGGAGGTTGGAGACGTGGGTTTTAAAGTTGGAAGGTATTTTCAAACATCTTAAGCTCTAGCCATTGCTGTCTATATTTCTCATGGGAAAATTCTTGCCGAACACATTATCAGTTAAACAAACTTATAAATTTAAGGATATAATCAAAACTATGTTAAGGGATTGAACAAACACCATGCTAAAAGTTCATAGAAATTTATTTTTTATTTTTTTTCTAGTACAACAAATGAGGTGCTAAAATTCGAACTCATTACCAACGGTAAGAACAGGTGCCAATTATAGGCTATAGTTGAGTTAAATTATGGGTAGAAATCTAATTTGTAGTTGAACAGAACTTCAAAAATATAAAGATAAAATTGTCACAAGTGACAGGGTACAACAATAAAAAGCATAGTAAATCATAAAATAAAAAAGTGAAGGGAAAAAAAAACAATCAAACAAGGAATGATGTCACTGCATCCCTCATAATGAGATGTGTTTCAAGTTAGCCGCTCTTAAATTTATTTCAAATTCGAGCATTTTCAGCATAACTTAAGGAATAAAGTAAATAAAATATCTATTACGAACCCCTCTCTTAAATTTATTTCAAGTTCGAGAATAACTTAGGGAATAAAATAAATAAAATATATATTACGAATCGCTCTTAAATTTATTTCAAGTTGGGAATAAAATAAATAAAATATCTATTACTATTTTAAAATGGATAGTTCTGCTTCTCTGTGTAATTGTTGAACAAAAACATATTTCAAAATAATTAATTATTAGTTTAACAATTAATAATAAATTAATACTTGTTTCAAACAAAATTAAATTGACATTAATTATTAAAATATATTTATATCTATAATATATAGTACATATTAAAAAGTTACCATATTTGAAAATATTTTTAAACTACTTTGTCCTTTGTCAAATTTTATATTTACAAATATGTCATTTATATTTAACTACCAATAATTAATAAATATATTGAATTAAAATCATAAATTGCCATTTAAATAGTTAGAATATGAAAAAAAAAATCATTTGTTTTTTATTTATTAATTTAATAATTATATTTTGTTATAGAAAATCAGAACTATTTGAATATAAAAAAATCTGCAATTATTTCATTTCTTATCACTATAAAATTAACTCTATTTTAACTTTTTACAACAATGACTTTTAGTGTTGAAATAAAATTAAAAAATTAAAGTTAAATATTAGTTTAATATAATAATAACATTATTATTTTTTGGAACTTATTATTTTATAATCCAATAATATTCTATCCTGTGTAATTTTAGTAATGTGTTATTTTTATTTAAATCTGATATTTAAATACACAAATAATAATTTGGTTCTAAATAAGTATTGACTTTAATATGAAGCGTCAAGTTTTTTTTTTTGATAAATTTATCATAATAAAAATTAGCTTAAATATTTCATTAAAAAATTTAATATTAAAAATACAACCGATGTAAATTTAATTTAATTTTGATGGAATGAAAATTTATTTATAAATCTAAAAAACTTGAATATGAGAAGTTGTATCCTTTCCTTTTCGAAAAGTTAAACATCAGGCCTTTTATTGTAATTAATTTTACAAATTTCAAACGACTTTAAAATTTCCAAAGTCTCAAAATTTTTCAATTAGCTACCACAAGTGAAACAAAAATTGCATTATTTCACAAGTTTTTGCATTATTTTAGTTTATATAATTTTTTTTTCCAAAATGAAGTCATGTAGCGATATTTATCTAGTAGTTCTCAAGTGAGAGATAAATTAATTTTGAAAACGTTGTGTATAGACATGATTCTCTTTCTTTCTATTATTATTTTTTATTTCCTTCCTAACTAGATTTTTGTTATTCAAAATATTTATGCATGCTTTGGATTTGTCAATAAGTTCATTTTTAGTAAAAATATTAGCATGTGTATTAAATAATTATATTTTATTTGATAAATTTAGATTTTACTTTCGACAATTTATTTTATAAGAAATGTAATTAAACTCAGTTTAATATTTATTTAATTATACAATAAAATAAACTGAAGAAAAATAATGCACGTCGAATCAAACTAGTAAATTTAAAAAGACAAATGAGCTTTGTGTATATCTAATTAGGTTGTCAAGATTTATTAATAATTTTTTAAAATCAATGGATTTATTAAATTAAAATGTCACTTAAACAATAATTTAGTTAAGCACTTGGATGTAACTAACAAGTTTGAATTCGAATCTTCGTCTCTAAATGTCGTATTCAAAACAACATTTCTTATGAAATATTANTCTAAATGTCGTATTCAAAACAACATTTCTTATGAAATATTATGTAAATATTATTATAACTTTTACATTCATTTTATTTGAATTTTTATATAAAAAAAAAAAAAGAAGAAGAAGAAGAAAAAAAAAGAAAAGCAAATTGTAATGTATTATATATTTCAGAATAATTCAAAAGTCAAAAAGTCAAAACCCTAAAAATCCTCCGGGTTCCCCCTGAGACAATTGGCCTTCCGTTCGCTGCTTCTCTTCGACTCCACCTGAGCCGAACTCTAGCAGACGGCGCCATGGTTGGAAAACTCAGAGAGAACTCCGCCGTCAGCGAACCAGTGGCCCAAGTAGGTTGCGAAAAACTCCATAAGAGATCCGAGAAGAAGATGAAGAAGAAGAGAGACAGAGACTCGGGTCGTCAAGAGGAAAACGAAGTTAGTCCCCAGAGTAAGGTAGTGGAAGGCACTGATTCGGAGATTCCCAAGAAGAAGAAGAAGCACAAGAAGTCGAAGGATGACAATCCTGACGTCAAAACCTCCGACGAGAAAGAAGAGCCGAAGGGCGATGAAAATTCTACCGATGGATCTGTGGTGGTCAATGGTAAAGGCGTGAAGGACGGAAAGTTCGCGCCGCTGAAGTCATTTGTCGAAGCGGGACTTCCAGATGAAGTATTGGAGTGCTGCCGAACTTTCAAAAGTCCATCGCCTATTCAATCCCACGCTTGGCCATTTTTGTTGCATGCTCGGGATTTTATTGGAATTGCCGCAACTGGATCAGGTAATTTGTGGATTTTGCTTTTAGTGTTTATGATGAGATCGGCGGATCTTATTATTATCTGTGATGACAGGCAAGACTCTGGCGTTTGGTGTGCCTGCTATTATGCACGTCTTGAAAAAGAGAAAGGGCAAGATGTCGAAGGGGCGGAATCCTCTCTGTTTAGTCTTATCACCTACGAGGGAATTAGCTCAACAAGTATGTGCTTACGGATTTGCAATCACTTGAATAGCAAACTGTACTGGCAGTTTACATCCAACCTTCTATGTCAAATATATTTTTTAATTAGTCGTAAATGTCGGATTGCTGGACATTTTTTGTTCTATCAAACAATAAATTAACTCGTCAAGGGAAGTACGGAAAAAGAGTTTATGTAAAGATATGGGGCACAAACTAGATATTGCTAATTTTTACCACACCATGTATTCTAAAGATATGGAGGACACAAAAGACTTTCCAGTGTGAGATTAGTCTCCTATCAGGTTAGAGAAGGGAAATGGCTTAAAGTGTCCTCTGAATAGTGGGAAATTAGGCAAGATTTTGTGATATGAATGGCTGACATTAACCCTGGTGGGGTTAGACATGCTTAGGAACCCCTTGGAAAGCTATTTTGCTTTGTTGCATGTCTTCTGGCCTATGTTAGATTTATTTTGGGGACGTGGATCAGAACCGTACTAAATTTATGCATCTTAAGATTAATTCCACTTGCGAAGTTAAATTAAATATTTCTAACCTTGTAACTAACAAAAGATGTCATCGACTTTTGAGTTTTACTAGTCTTGGACTGGAGCATCCAGTGGCCATGAGATCACAATAATTGTGTTTTCATTGCTGCATTGCTATTGTACATGACACATGTTGTGTTGATCTTGTTGTTTTACCACTCAGATCTACTATTGATTATAGGCTTCATGTGCTATGGCAGATTTCAAGTGTACTGCAAAATGCCGGAGAACCTTGTGGCGTGACGTCAACTTGTTTGTATGGAGGAGTCTCCAAAGGCAGTCAGATATCTTGTCTTAAATCTGGTGTTGTATGATGTTTCTGCTTCCTCTTTGTGATTTTGTGACCTTTATCTTGATGTTGTAGATATCAACCAATTTGGGAATTTCACTTCATTTTTCTTCTGATTCTTTTTCTTGTTCCACGTTCTGAATATTTATATGCTGATTTGTGATTTCTGCCGTTTACAATATATCACACACACACATCCCTTTTTTTTTCCCTCTCCTGTCTCTCTCGCTTCTGATAATTACATGTTCATGCTGTTTTGGTATGATTTTTTATAAAGTATCACCGGTTAGTTGAGTGACAATTTATAAGATTTATGGTTAAGTTTGGGCATTTTGTTGTTGGGGTAGGACTATTTTATGAATTTTAGTTTTTGTTGCTGCATTGAGCATTTTCGCTGCTTGATTTTTATGTCTTGTTTGGTTTTTATTATTTTTAATACTAGAGCTTGGGTGTGTTTGTGACTAGACTTTTGGGCATATGGCTATATTTTGGGTGATTTATTGATTTTTGGAAAATTTTCTATCTTTGTCTAAAAAGAGAGTATTAATTTTATTATTTATTCAAGTTTAAATTTACTTAGTCAACTAAGGATATGGTAAAAATTCAACTATTGGGAAGCTTTATTTGGGAGAATAAACACCTGTGACGGGGGCCAAACTATAATTTCAACTATGGCTCTCTCTCCACATGGATGCATTCTTTGTGAGATGGCTGCAGAAGCTTAAGACCGTTCAACAAGCTACCTTCTTTTGGAATTTGTATTTTTTCTCTTTTCGGTGATCTTCTCCTTTTGATCGAAAGCTGAAAGCCAATTGCACTCTTTCTTCACTTCACCTTTTCAAGAAGGCTATCAACCATGTTTGAAGCTTCCTTTATTGCACTTGGATTGAGAGAATGCACTGTATTTTTGTATGCAAAGACAGAAATCTGCTTTAATTTCTTGATAATGTCAATTTTGGTTCTGCTTCTTCGTGTAGGCTTGGTAATTATTTTTGTAATTGTTCAATTACTTACATATGGGCTAATTGCATGGCTTTTTTTCTTATTCTTGGGCTGGGACCTTTCTCCCCATTTTTGTCAATTCCATTATGGTAATGAAATGTTACAATTCCTACTGAACAAAAGTACCTAAAATTGATAAATATTTTTTGCTTTTCTTTGCACTCAGGACATTGTGATTGGAACTCCTGGCCGTTTAAAGGATTTGATGGAAATGGAGGTCTGCAGACTTTCAGAGGTGTCTTTTGTGGTATGTGACCACTTTGGTACCATTACATATGAGAACTTGTATCTCCTCAGCTGATAAATGGTCTTTTTGTTGCTCTAATTTCACTTTGGTGCATTTATGTGCAAGGTGTTCGTGAATGATAGTATGCATAGTGCATTACAATGTATGAAATTTAACATCTTTATTATATAGTTGTCTGTTCATTGAATATTACATATTGTAGCACAATGTAGGATGTCTAATCAGATATTATAGTGGGAAAAAGTTTTTGCGCCTGTGTGGGGATCTGTGAACTATAATACCTAATACCATAGAAGAGGAGAATCTCATTTGATCTGATTTTTCTTCTCTTAATAGATACATAACGTTTCTTGAGACAGTGAATTGAAATTATGAGCTACAGAAATTCCAATTCCATGAGCTGGCAAAAAACCACTCAAGTTAGAGTTCAATTATAGATGAGGTTTAATTAACCTAGCTACATCAACAGTGTCCATGCAATCCGTAATTAAAATTCTGTTGATTCTTTTCCAACTATAATTCCCATAAAATAGCTTCTATCACATTGGACCATATAGATTCCACTGGACTATTAAGTTCATGCTCACAAAACAGTTGTTTCACATTAGACTGTTATTTCTATTTCTAAGTTTATCTCATTCCCCATAAAAATCTCTCCATTTTTAATTAATTCAATTCGTGGCAGCAATTACAAAATGATTTTCGAAGAGAATGCCTATTACTGGTGATAGGTTTTTCTATGTTCGAAACTATTATTACTCTATGAACTTCACATTGATTGTTTGTTGTTTGTTTTTATTAATTTTGACGTGCAAACCTATTAAGAAGGCAACTTAAATTTTTGTAGGTCCTTGATGAGGCAGATCGAATGTTAGACATGGGATTTGAACCTGAAGTGCGCTCTATATTAAGCCAGACATGTTCAGGTTGACATTTTTGGTCTTCCTTTGCACTTATCTTTATTACTTTTAGCTCAATCATTCTCTCACGCTTTTAAATGACTATTTAATCTGAGTTTGTTTATGCAAAAAACAAGATGTTGTGATGCTGTGCATTCATATTAAGCTCTAACCCTTCTGCAGAACGCCAGATGGTTATGTTCAGTGCTACATGGCCTCTACAAGTTAATCAATTGGCTCAAGAGTTCATGGATCCTGACCCAGTTAAGGTGTGCGGACTTTGCAATATTGATTTAGTAGCCTGACTTTTTTATTAATTTACTTTTTATTTTTAAGAAGGAAGTATTCTACGACAGGTTGTTGTAGGTTCTGAGGATTTGGCTGCTAACCATGATGTCATGCAAATAGTCGAGGTACATTTTCCCATGTCCAGCTGAGCTTTGTGCATCCGAATAAAGAATAATAGAGTTAACCATCATTACCTCTTGACATGGATAGGTCTTGGATGATCGTGCACGTGATGGACGTTTAGTGGCTCTGCTTGACAAATACCATAAATCTCAAAGGTATTTACAGCTTCTATATATATGAGATTATTCTAATTAATGATTTGTTTTAGCTTCTTAGGGTCAATATTTAATTCCTTCTTAACGTCCTGTGCTGGGTTATTAATATATGTGCATTGGGGAATAATGGTTCGGCGGCAACTGGCTATTTTGTTTTCAGAAACAGAGTATTAGTTTTTGTCTTGTACAAGAATGAAGCTGCACGAGTTGAAAATATGCTGCAGAGAAGGTAATCTTACATCGTAGTACGTTGTTTGGTAATCCTTCATCTCCTCTGTAGATTTGGGAAGAATTGATTTTTAATTCCTAATGATCTCTCTTCTCTATCTTTCTCTCTCACTCTGCCTGTAATTACTCTCTAGGGGTTGGAAGGCTGTTTCCATACACGGTGACAAAGCACAAACTGAACGTACAAAAGCATTGTCATTATTTAAAAGCGGAAGCAATCCGTTAATGGTATGCATTAAGAAATAACTGTTTCTTCAACTGCTATTTAATGGCTATTTTTCATATTGTCACAAGGCTCTAAAATTTTGTTTCACTATAGTCTTTCATATTTTTTTTTTCTAGAACTTTTTTTCTTCAGAGTCGTATTGGGCTGTTTTTTGTGTTTTTCACATTATTCCATTGTTGTGATTGGCCTAATATCTTGCAATACCACTATGTTTAGCTGCTAAAAATTTTAATCGTGGATGTCAAATTGTAAAGTACCTGTTGGCTTGTAATTTTTAGAGTGTAATAGTAGAGGTGTATATTATTCATGCCAAACTGCTTTCTTTTGTGGTTGGAATATTCAGTGCTCCCATGTGTAAATTTTAATTTTATTTCTTATAGTTAATTGTGGCTTGCTAAAGTGTATAATCTTCTTGCAATTATAGATAGCTACTGATGTGGCCGCTCGAGGTTTGGACATTCCAGATGTAGAAGTAGTAATTAACTATAGCTTTCCTCTCACTACTGAAGATTATGTCCATAGAATTGGAAGGACTGGACGGGCTGGTAAAAAGGGTGTTGCTCACACATTCTTCATGCAACAAAACAAGGTTATTTTGGCTTTTTTCTTTTTAAGTACATACGATGTGGGGTGAGGATTCTCGAGCCCATGATCTTTTGGTCGGATATATTTCTTGCTCAAGTTGACTTATTTTCTATTTATTTGGGCTAATATTTATTACGCCTCTTAAAAAAAGGTAAATTTTGGTGTATTCAATTCTCTTAATCTGTGTTGCCATTGTTTTAGGGACTTGCTGGAGAGCTGGTAAATGTTCTCCGTGAAGCTAAGCAAGTTGTACCTGATGCACTTTTGAAATTTGGCACTCATGTCAAGAAAAAGGTAACAGATTTTTGTTAGTTATATATTTCTTCACAAAAATGCTCGTGAAAACACTGGTAGTCTTCATATGATAGTTTTCTATCTCATGTCGAAAACAAAAATAAAATAAAATCAAGTTTTTGTGAATGATTTTCATGTCCCGATTAGGTGGACAGAATGCCAAAATAAATAGACAATCATTTTGTTTCTAGCTTTCTATTTTTAAAAATGATGATTGGTTGGTCTCAACCTCCTTAATATGTTTTCACTTTTTTTAACAACACGTTTAAACTCCAAGATTTCAAAATAAAAAATAAGTTATTTAAAACAATTTCAAAAAGCAAAGGCATGACAAAGAAATAAATGGTGAATGAAAGTAGTATTTACAAGTTCAATTTTCAAAAATAGAAAACCAAAAACAAATTGGTTATCATAATTTGAATCCTAGTTAAGCCGAGTATTTATCAAAATCGTATGACGTCTATATTTTTGCAAAAAGTGCTTTTTTCAACCAGTGGTGTGACCTGTTTTCTGAGTTTATTGTTTTTTTTTTCAAAGAGAATAATAAATGCTTGTCGTAGTAATCATATGGATGGAGAGAACATCAATGGCCAGAATATTATATTGATTCACTGCAGGAATCCAAGCTGTACGGAGCTCACTTTAAAGAAATTTCAGCAGATGCCCCCAAGTCCAAGAAAATTACATTCAATGATTCTGACGATGAAGATTGATTATTAACAAAATCCTCAATTTTTATGCAGGGCCAAGTTTTCTTTTTAATATTTTGAATTTATAATAGGCGAACTTTGATTTTCCTGTTTAATTATAAATTTTGATCTTGGTGGGTGTCATCAATTTATTGATGAATGATTAATGCAATTTAGTAATTTGTGTTAATCAACTAAAATGGCATCTAGTATAAAAGTTTGAACTAACTCAAATCAAGTTGATTGAATTCAATTCTTCCTACATTTAGAATAGAACCAAACCTACAAATACCAACTTCTTTTTCTTCTTTTTTTTTTTTTTTATATCCGTATCAAGATCAGTTTAATTCAAATACAAGTTATATTTTTTTCTCTTGTCGTGACAATTTTCTTGAAGCAAAAATTCAATCACCAAAATTTTAAATCAAATCGATTTTGTTTCAACAAAATGGATATGACCAAAATAATTAGTWCAGCTGGTTGAACAAAAAATCAAACCGGACTAATTTACACCAAAAGATGAACTTTGCATTACCAAAACATTCTAATTAATGCAGAAATAAAAAAAAGGCATATAATATAACATAATATGTGCTTGTATAAAAAAAATGCTAATGAAACATGGGAGTAATGGATGAAAGTTGGTACTGCTATAGGTTCATTTGTTCAACACGAGTGTAAATGACATCTGCTTCTTTCATTTCGAGTGAAGTAGATGACCAAAAAATAAGCAACAAAACTCTATTTTTTCCTCTGATGTAAGAACCTCTGGAGTTTTTTTTTCTTTTTTTTTTTTCTAATATACATGCTCACACTACAAAATTTCCCAAATGAGGATACCCATTGGGACGACAAAATTTCCAAACCAAATAGTTTCTCAAATGGCTGAGTCAAAAAATGTCTCAATTTGTGCTAAAAGCATAGTATAGTATATGGTGATGCATATGAATTAACAAGCAATCCTTAAAAGTGCTTTATACTATGCTATTTCCCAAATATGTAAGAACTCTTTTCTTGAATACCTGGGATAAGTCGGCAACTTCAGATTCCCTCATCTGTCTTGTCTTCCTGTCAAATTGGTAAGTTCTATTGTTTCTTCTGGACAACTTGGTAATTACATCAATGGTGAGGCTGGCCATATCTCTGCTGTTCGTTAACACTCGCAAGACTGTGGCTGAGTATAACGAATGAGATGCAAGTCTATTAAGAAGTATAAGTACCTCCCGCAACAGCAAAGTCCTAAATAATGAAAATTAATAGAACACGGTTACATCATTTGAAGATAGCTGATGAGAAGAGAAATGTTGAAACGTATATGGAAAAGTAGTATCTAAGAAGCACAAATCCAAACATGAGAAGCGAATACAACATATGACACGATAAGGACACATTTATTAAGATATACTATTTATTTTAAGTATATATTACTTTTATACACGAAGGAAAATCAAAATCAATAAATGCTTTTAATGCTTAAAAGAAATAAGTCATGTATTTTACTCTAAAAAATTGTTATTTTCTCCCATCCTTATGCTCAAGGAATCTTTGATATGCACTAATTTGATGGAATGCATATATGAGGAACCATGACATTTCTGGAATGTCACGGAAAACTCGAATTCGTATCTAACAAGTGTCAGAATCTATATCAACTTTGTACTGCTCAACTGTTGAGCTAACAAGTGTAATACGTGTTCGATAAGTGTCGGAGTGTTTGATATGGATGCGTTATTGAAACTGAAGTTTCCGAGTTTCTAGAGTAGCATGTTCTCGAGGAATTGTGGGATTTCATATCTACAATAATATGGAGAAGCTCATCAAAGTTACCTTTCCCCGTGAATTTCTACGGGCTGTGGAACTTTTTGTTCGTGCTCGACCTCTGAAACCACAACTTGAAGAATCAACACGAGGAAGTTTGACTCTGTAGGTAGCTTGTTGCTTATGAGAATTTCAAAGCCAGCTTTGCCAGACGATGCTAGAAAAGCGAGCAAAAGAACAGTGTTTCTTCGAAGTTTCAACTCCTGCAATAACAAGGTATATACCTAACATCAAACACGTGGGTTGCTCAGCACAATAATATAATGTTCATTACCTCCTAATCTACATGACACGATGAACTTTTGAAACAATAATCAATTATAAAAAATAAAAATTACACCTATATGAATTTCTTACAATTTGTTAAGCCCGAGAACATAAGGTCGTCAACGGTGATGACTTTCCTGCTTCTAACAGTAACCTACTTGGCTAGAGAGCAGTTATACTAAAAATTGAATGGCAATAGGTTAGAAACTTTGCAAGGACTGCTTCGGCAAGAGTAGGTTTCCTGCCTCTAACAGAAAATGTTTGTTCCATTTACCAAGTCTACACAAGATCTTTCCCACTATAGGCTTTTGAAAATCCCTATGGTTGCCTCATTCCACACTCTCCACAATAATTTTTTCATCAACTTCAATTTCATGGCAACGGCAACCGAACTCTAAAACAAAGACAAACCTCAAGTTTAATTACCACTTCTCACAAGTTCCCTATTTTCTCTGCAAGAATTGAGCAACAGTAGCAGTGCCCTTTTTAAGTAACCCAAGTGGTTTGGTTCCAAACCTCAAGTTTCTTGACTACCAATATAATAGGATTCAGTATAGCCCTCAGTTTTGCACCAGGGGGGAATTAAAAGGAAAACAAAGGAGCAGCGGAAGGATCGTTTAAGATGCTTACCTCAATACCGTTTCCGCAACATGCAAGACAATCTGCCAAGCCATGAAGGATGGTTCTGAATTTCTCAAAACCTGCAGCAGATCTCACATTTTCGTCTGCAGCACATGTAGCTTCTGTCTCCATGCAACCAGAACAAAATGCGACAAAAAACGTAGGACCTAAATTAAAACAGACATTATGAGAAAATAAACGATATAAATGGAAAAATTAGTTCACGTTTATGTTGTGCGATAAGATCGATTGATTAGAAGTTCAAACAAATAAGGCCACAAGCAGGCCTATAATGCTGCGGTGCTAAGGCTTTGGCTCTAGCTGCGACCAGATAGCAAGCATTTACAATGTCTTGCGGAAGGTTAAGATAAGTAAATAATTCAAAATGAAAACAAATGCCACATCCAGTTCCAAAGTTCAGGGTCATAAAATTAAACCTAGGAAGATGTCAAAAGAAGATTAAAGGAACCAATGACCTCGATTCACTAAATGAAAAATTAATCCAAGATGATTTGAAGTCTGAATACAATGTACTCAGAAATTTAAGTCAAGGAGAATGAGAAAAGAGACCGACGTTCCCTACTAGTTTTTTTTTTTAATAAGAAACAGAGAGAACTTGTAACGTTCCCTACCAGTTTAAAACTTAAATAATTATCAAGCAGAATTATCATGAGCTTGAAAGTTCCAAAAGGATCGTTTAGGGCAATAAGAACTGTAATTATTAAAGCTTACAGTTTAGTATCAGGAATAGAAGACGCACAGCATGCTTTTGTATAGCTGAACCGGATTCCTTTCTGATAAACTCCACTACACTATCAAATAAAAGTCCCGGACCAAACCTGTAACAGTATATGGAATGTGAGAAGTTTCTTATTTGACACGTAGAAATATAGACTAAAAAAAGCACAAACTTACTTCTCCCTCTCCATATACGTACTACTTCTCATCAGAATCAAATTCATGATTGAAACTGCTTCCATCCTCACACATTCTACACAATGCGTCTTAGCAACCTGATGCATCATCTCAAAGAAAGACACCCAGTTTACTTGAGGAACTAAATTTGTGTACGTATTCAAGTTTCTGTTCTTGCACGGCATATCAGCACCAGGGATTCTACTGCAAGCTGGAGCGCAACTGTCATGAGATGTTCCATCCATGTTCACAACAGCAAATTCTTCACCTTCTACACTCTGTGATCCATGAGAATCCAAATCATTGTTCCTAGAGCCAAGTCCCTCAACCATGACTGTTTTCCTGAGCAGATTGCACTGGAAAGATCAAATCAGAGTTCATAAGAACCAAACGAAGACATGGAAGTTCTTGAACACTGAACACTACAGCATCACTCAAAAAGGATTTGATCCTAAATGATAGTAAGGAAACTCAGAAGAGTACCTATCGTAAACAATAATACCACATGAAGTCATGCAATATGTTGATATCACCAAATATATATCCAAGTCATAATTAACTTCAATTCTTTCTACGACCAACTAAATACTCCATAGAATTAACATGGTGTTAAAATAAGCAAGAAAGAAAAATTAATTTAGATTTGGTACCATCATTAATAGTAGGGTGAAACTTCCCAGCTCAGCCAAAAAAAAAAAGGTTGTAGTACATAGATGATACATGATAGAACTATTTGACTAACATCCATGTCCATGGACAACACTTTCATAAATTGCCCCTGAATTTTTTTAAATATTCAAACAGCAAGTAACCTCATTGGTCGTAGAATAAAGTCAAACTATTAGCTTTTTGATTGGCCATAGATTTGAGATAGCCCTAGAGAATTTGCCAATATAAAATTTCTGCTGCCTCATAATCAACATACTTCTAGAGAGATAAAATATACATATATTGCAAAATAAAATACACTGTACCTTCTTTCGGATTTCCTCTCCAACCAAAACAGGTGTTTCACAAACATATGCAATATATGCAGAGTTCTGTGAACTATGACGACCTGTATCCAAAAATAAAGGAACTAATTTCTCAAAGAGAGGAAGAGTGCCACAATTGTCTTTTTTTTATTATTATTATTATTTTTAAAATGTAAAACCAAGCTTTCATCAAGAAATATCAATGCCAACTTAGAAGAAACGACATAACCATATTTTTTTATGAAAAGATTTGATGAACTAATAGTGACATAAACACAACCATATTGCAAAGCATAACAACATTCAGAATCCAGATTCAATTGTATTAACCATATAGTGAACTGTGACCATAAAACAACCAACTCATCAATCCGAAGACATGCAAACCACAAGATCTTCCCAGGTTTGTACAGGCTACAATATAATTGATCATAATCATCAATTATCTTCTCTAGATGAATAAGAAATAACCACAATTGTTTGATGAATACAGAAGTCAATAATGGTGAAAAAACTTGCTCGGTTAAAATTAAAATTTATGACATTATTTCAGCTGAATATGATACAAAGGAATAGATGTGCTTTCAAGGGAAAACGTAAGTTTGTTGCTTGTTCTTGCCGTATATCTTATCCATATAGCCTCTATTCTATTTATGCCAATTGAATGCATTTTTTGTAACTTCCTAGTTATCTTTGGTTGAGGCTCCTTCCCTCTCTTGTAATTTCATTCATTATTTATGTTTGTTTATTATTAAGGGGAGAGAGAGAAGAAAGAAAAGGGCATTTCTGTGACCTCCCTAACTTGGGCTTGGGTTTAACAGCTAGTCATTCCTCCCCTCTTTCAATGATTTTTTTGTGCATATGAAGATAAATGGAAGAGGGAAAAAAAAATGAAACTAGGCAATCGTGGCATGAATTTGATAAAAATGAAACATGCAAATTGAGAAAGTTAATAGCAACTTGTACTGTCAAAACTACTCAAATCTTTACTCGTACATTAATTTGTTTGTATAACCAGGAAATCCTCAAGTCTTACTCACATTGTCAAGATTACAGAGATCAAGTAACGGTGTAAACAATGCCTCCATCTTTACTATTCCATTACTTACCTACAAAAAAAAAAAAAAATAATAGATAACAAACAGAAGAAAATAATTATAGAAATTTTTAAATAACAGTGGACATGACTACTTAAAAACATTAACATATATAACATCATTTTTTTTAGGTTAACCATCATTTTTTTTTAGTTCAACCACATGTGAGAGTGAGAATTGAAACTTCCGATAGGTTGAAGATATATTCCTCGACAAGTTGAGTTATGCTTAGGTTGGTAACACATAATGTTAGAAAATGAATTCTCAAAACAATGAAAAAAGTTCGGATCTCATGTTTATCACTATTTTATGGACCAACCATATAGTGATAAAATATGTCAAGATACCTTAGTCAAAGTGGTGTAGAGATTAGATACTTTTACGGCTTCCAGACCATGAAGAAACTGCAAAGGGTTCTTTAAAGCTACATCAGAAACGTTATCCCCAGCTAGGGAATCGACAGAAAATTTGGGGGATAACTTCGTGCTGATGCACCCAAAAAGCACATGAAAATCTGTTTCACATGATAAAAGTAATTCTGAAACCAAAGATTGTCCCATCTTAGAGCCACTTTCGGGGACCCAGAATACTTGCAGCTTCTTGGATAGGTTGTGAAAAGCAGGTAATTTATCATTGACTCTCTCCCCAGCAGAATTATGAGCTTGGCCTCCCTGTTCGCCGATGGCTTTACTACTAGAAGAAACTTGTAGATGCAAAAACAGTAAAATAAAGATAGTTAATTGGTATGCACCATAAAATAACTTGAAATGATTATTAGCTCGTCCTTAGAACTACCAATGTGAGGGGCACCAAGGTCACCAGCAAGATCTTCAATCTTCCTAGAATTATGCTCACCATCATTCCCCGCTGTTCTCCTGGTTATATTGATGATGCAGAATAAGAAATAGCAATAAACATCAGAAGATAATTGCACATAAGAAACTATAGTTCATTCCAGGTCTCAACTTCTTAATTAACAGCAAGGTAGTAATGTTAAGAACATGAGTTAGCCAAGCCAGATTTTGCACCAAAAAAAAAGTGAATGCATCTAGGCACAAATATTATGTAACAATATAATTAGAGAAGGTACACACATGTATTAATATAATAGTCACCTCACGTAGAGTTCATACAGTAGTCAAGATACATTTGTTCTCGCAGCAATGCATCATTCATATGAGTAGATTTAATAAACCACATTTTATGATGTTTTACAGAAAGGGGAAGGAGCATAATGACAATCGCCCTATACTAGTAGTGTTGGAAGTTCAGTATTTGTACCGCTGAGTTGCCAATCAAAATAATAACTAGAGCCTAGAGGCCAACTGCAGTCCATAATTTGTAATATTATTCCAAAAAAATGACAATTTCACTCACAAATCTGTACTCTCTGAACCATGATGGCCAATAAATTGTTCATCTTTATTGGAAAAGACAACTTTAAGCTGCTCCTCTTTCCTGTCTCTTTTCTTCCTGAGTTCAACACACTCTTGTTCCTGAAAGCATTCACTGAATTCTTTTAATTAGATGAAACCTAAATTTATAAATACAATTGATTTTTACAAAAGGAATAAGTACCAATTTTAACTGCAAACTGAACAAATTTTCATTAAGAATATATCATATTAGTTTCCAAATCGGGGAAATAAACAATTAATTCACAGGAAAATCGTGTAAATGACCATCAGAAAATCAGTGAACAAATGCCATTCTATTTGTTTGAATAAGATAAAATCACAAACGGAGCGCTAGCCTTTTAGGATAAATTTTATGCTTCCTTATAGAATCAGTTTTCGAGGTGCCAAGGAGACCTAGAGCTGGCTACACAAATATCATTTATCAAATCTTTGCTCATCATAAAAGAAAAAGCAAAATTCACGCATGGTTTTTCTTGTCTAAGATAAGTAAAAAGAAAACAAGAAATGGTCATTCTAATAATTTCATATGCATAATAGAAAATGAAAAAATAATAACAGTAATAATTAATTAATTAACATACCAAGTCCTTGAGTTGCTTTGAGACGCGCCCTAGCTCCCTCTGTCACCAATCACCACAAACCATAAAAACTTATTATACATTTCATAAACTCCCCCTTCTCATTATGCATACAACTATAAACGTTAAGTAATTGTGGTTAAAGAATGGTTAAAGAATGAAAATCTCTGGCCACCACTAGAATAAAAGAGAAAAACAAAATACATAATACTGCTGATTGTTGGCAGAAGCAAGGCCACGTGATACTAAAATGTCTAATGTTCACATCAATCATAAGAACTTAGACGACGATGATCCACAGAAAGAAATCCTTATTTCAAGCATAACAAAACTTCAAATTGTTCCCGGCGATAATTATCGCGTTTGATCGGGAAAGAATGCGAAAATGCAAAAGATAAACTGATCGAAATGCAATAATCCGATGCAGTCAAAAAATTCGCTAGGCATAAGCACGAAGTCAGAAGACTCGGAGCACCCGGAGATCGGTCAGACTAATCCAAGTACATCTCCTTCCTTCTGGGTAGAAGAAGACAGCACACTTTGCAGACATTTCGAGCGGCAACGATGAACGAAAAAATAAATGGCAGTTCAGACGATTCAAAACCTAGTTCTTCTAAGCTCTAACTTGTAAGCGTTCTATTCAGAGACTACACTACAACAAATCAACGTAAAAAAAATACAGGAATCTGGTAGCCTCGAACATTTAACCATGAATCTAACCTTCAAATTACAAATCTCGAGTTCTTTTGCAGCGTCCGGGCGAGGCAAGCACGGAGCCAGCATCGAAGAAGAAGGACCACATTCGCCCAAGCCATTGGGAGAGCGGACACCGGTGATCCTCTGTGAGAGTTCTCGAGGAGGCGAATAACTAATGGGACGGTCATGAAACGCTTGCACAAAATGTAGCGGTTCCGGTTGCGATGGCGGCGGGGGGCAGAAGGTAGAAGAAGAGATCGGAATCGTAATGAGATGATTATCGGCGGTGGAGGCGATGGCAAGCTCTTCGACTTGGATGAGTTGGTCCAAGAAATCAGCGTCCCAATCTTCGAACCCTTCGTCTTCGCTCCGCATTCTCAGATTGCTGCCTCCAAAATCCAAATGCGAGGGAAACTGAACTTCTTAATATATCGTCTCCCGCCTTTGTGTGAACTCTTGAAGGCCGACCGGAAGTTCTCTCTATTTTGTTTTACAATTTTTTGTATTCCATTTCTCGTTAAATAACTTTTTTACTACGTCTGGATTTGTTGGAATCTACTTAGATTTGAACTCTTAAACTGTTAAAATATATATCATGGATCAAGGCTGTGGGTTCAAAATTTCATCTCCACCTATAGTTAGTTAGTTGTACTTAAAAAGATAAAATTGTGAGTATTGAATATATTGTCTACTAAATTAGTCTCGAATTTACCATTTTTCATAATCCGACCAAAAGATTTTGCCACCTTCAAATGGTGCTGTGCTTAAAAAAAAGTATAAATCTTATTATTTGTTCCATTTTATTTTAATTTATGTTTTTGTTTATTTATTTATTTCGGGTCATTCCCTTCATTTTAAGGCCCAGCTGAAATTTCAAGCCCAAACAAATTACCCATTACATGCTTTTCTTCCCAACAAAGCAAACGTTTCGAATGTGAAATGTGCCATCACAAAATAACAATATCCCCAAATAAATTACTAGCGAGCATGGTTTATCCACTTTTAATTTCGTACCTTTGGCTACTACCATTGTAACGAAAAAGTAGATGAACAATAGATAAAAAAGCAAGATAAAATGTCTTTGAAGGAATCACTTGATTCATGAAATAAAAATGGTTACAAATATGCATAGAAACAACCTCTCTTCCACTTACATCATTATGTCGTAAGGCATTGAGTTAAAAATAACTCCTAAAAACTCTCAAAATTTTAACCTCCATTCTTTTTAAATCTTGAAATTTGTAAAATAATTATAAATTTGAGTTGACTCTCGGTCGTAGACCTCACAAAATGATAAAGTGGTAATTAAATGACGGCGCAAAATTTGCCAATTTATACTCTGGTAAAAGATGCGATAAAATTATTCAACTCTACTTAAATAATTCTTTTTTTCTATTTTATTTTTTTTTATCCTTTTTATCTTCTCCTTTTCTCCTATCTATCCTTCCTCCTCCTCGATCTCTTCTTTATCTACTTCATCACTACTCCTTCCCTATTCATCTCTCGTTAGGGACAAGCCGATCTTCTCCCTCCCCATTTATATCGATCTTTTTCAGTCGGTGAATTGCTTATAAATTCTTTAAAAAAGAGAAAATAAAAAACACATATAAAAAGACTAACTATATCTTAATCAGTTTGAATCTCTTGTCCCACGTACTACTAAAAGAACATAATTGAAAATACATTGAATGTATGGTTTACTATTGGTAGAGATTAATTAGCATATGTAGGATAAAATAAAACGTGACTAAATCCATACCAAATAAAGTCTCGACTTCTTCAACTTCATAACCAAATCCTCGCAAATAATGTTTGATTCTCAAAATGGAAATATTGAAAATAACATAATGATATACTTTTATTCAACAAGAGCCCACTAACAAAGTTCTTATACATGGCCAAAACTCAACCTAACAAAAAAAAAAAAAAAAAAACCAAAGTACACCAAATCACACACAGATATATATACACATATACAAAATTTATATCATTTTGAACTTTCCTACAAAGCAAAAAAGAAAAGTATTAGAAAAATCATAAGAAAAGTTTTTAGAGAACAATGTTTTGAGAGTGAAATGGTTGATCATATTGATGAGGAGGAAGAAGGTGTCCCTTAGGACCTCTAAAGCTTCTATGGTTGACTCTCTCCTTCCTTCCCCACATGAATTTATTATAAGGATTTCGAAACTTCTTCACTGCAAAATCTCTTTCTTTGCCCTCTTCAATGGCTGCAACTGATGAGAGGAGGAAGGCCAAGAAACAGAGCAGAATTATGAAGATGGAAATGAAGGAGAATTTGGGTGAGGCTGATGATTTTAACTCAGCCATTTTTTTTTTATTTTCTTTCCTTTTGGGTTTGTTGTTTCTATGGAGTCTCTAAATAAAGGGGTTTCAAAGGGATTTCTTTGCTTTGGTTTCAAGTCATGCTGGAAATTATTTTGGGTTTGGTCACACTCATGGGTTTCTGATAATAATGGCATATATCCCTTTATTGCAATGCTAATTATTGACTTTTACAGCTTTACCACTTAACTCTAATATACTAAAACTTTGTTTTTTCTTTTTATATATCGTTGATATATTATGGGATAATTAAGCCATACTTTGTTTCATTTTATGAACAGTATCAGTATCAACCTCAAACACCCTGGTACATAAAATTCTCCCTCAAATTTGAGGGAGACTATACTGTATATTCGATAAAATGAAAGAAAATACATTTGTTTTTTAGTTCAATAAACAAAGATAGGTACTCAAATCTTAAACTTTTAAGAAGGTAAATAGTATCTTGACCAATTGGATGATGGTTGTAGGTAAAATAATTAACTTTCTCCCTCGACTTTAATGGAACAGGCTTAAAGCCACATGCATACATACCAATTTAGCTAGAATTTAATGGAAGAGCCCCTCTCTGTRGTATTCAATTAATGTTTTCATCGATTATAATATCCGAAGAATTTTTTTTCCATTAAAGTATTTATTTGTTTGGTTTGCATGGTAATCATAATTGACAGTAAGAATAAATCGGCAGTGAAATGATTGGGTAATTTTGTAGAGTCTTGAGTTTTTTTTAGTACACCATGTTGGGGAATGGATTTGAACTTACAACTTTTCGGTTAGAGGTATATGTCAATTACCGCTGAGTTATGCTCGCTTTGAGTTCTAAAGACTATCATTACTTCAACGTTGATGAGATGGAGAAACTGCCCCATGATAGCCATTAATGTTCACCAATAATAAATGTTTTTTCAAAAATAGTTATTTCCCCCTTTCCTTTATGAATAATATATTTTCAAATAACTGAAATTACTATCTCTTTTTTCTCAAAATTATAGACTCACGACTAGCACAAAGTAATGTTGGTAAAAGTAGTTTTTGGAAACTTTTTCTTTTAACAAAGTAGATTAGTTTTGAAAATAAACGTAGGAAGAACTATTTTGTAAATAATATTATATTAAAAATAAATACAAAAAAGAAAAAAATATCTGACCACTCGAGTATCAACGTTAAACTATTTAGATTTTTTTTAAATAATGTATATTAGAAAAGAAAAAAAAAACAAAATCACAATATTTATAAAAAGAATAGACTAAAATAAAATTAGTAAATCGATCTAAAGATCACAATTTACCTAAATCGTATCCAAGGGTTGCAATTTAGTACTAGTGCAAAACGCTTGCAATATATTTCTTTATTTTTACTCCAGCTTTCCCGCAACCCTCTCTTCCATTATTCTTCTCTTCAAGCATTTTTTTTTCTTATAACCCATAATCGATACCTTTTTAGCTTTTTACCAAATAATCGAACACCGCACCCACCCCACCCCAAGATCGAAATTTGAAAAATATCAAGGTTTTAGTATTTAGCTCACTAAAAAGTTTGAACACAAAAACTAAATATTAGGAGGAGGCCGTGTACCCTTACCAATAGAACAGCCTTTTGAAATAACCTTAAGAAATGTGAAACATTTCATGATGGTCAAAATAAAATCGATCGTTAACAAGTCAAGTATCAAAATAAGACTTTAATAAAAGAAAATTATTCTAAAACTTACAGATATATTAAAATTAAAAAGAAAACAAGTCACGGTATCAAATATTTCTGCATTTTAAATGAGCAAGTATTATATAGGTTTTCTAAACCGGGTTTTTTTTTTTTTAATATTGTTGTAAATGAAATTTATTTTAAAAATATAGTTGTTTAATTAAAAATATTGTAGGTTTTGAAACTTTTTTTAAAAATATTGTAGTTTTAAAAAACAGAAGGTTGGTCGACGACCATTTAGACGTGGCGCCACGTAAATTTTTTCAAAAATTTGAACATGGTCGTAGAGACAATCATCTCAGGTTCGAATCTTGGGTTACACACTTTTTTTTTAATTATATATTATTTAGTAGTTTATATTATATATTATATATAATTGTTTATTATATAATTTTTTTTACATTAAAATCTCACGTTCAAATTTTTAATAAAATTTTCGTGGCGCCCACGGACACCACGTCTAAATGGTCGTCGACAACTTTCTGTTTTTTAAAAGTACAATATTTTTTAAAAAAGTTTTAAAACCTACAATATTTTTAATATTTTTAATTAAACAACTATATTTTTAAAATAAGTTTCATTTACCCCAATATTAAAAAAAAAACCCTTTCTAAACCACACATTCGCATAAGGCCCACGCTATAACGAAGAACAAATAAAGCGACCCAGCTGCTGACTTGGCAAAATATAAGTGGTTCAAACGGAAAAGAAATATCCCATAAAACCAGCCCCTGCCAACATATTATCCTATCCACAATCCACATCTCCCATAATCTAACACTTCTATTTTTCTCTGGCCACAATTCTGTTTTGAAATCTCATGGATGAGATTCAGAGCCCCCAACTTTCTCATTTCACCGTTTCCTACCCAACAACCAAAACTTTGCAAAATATTCAAACATCTGGGATTTACCTGCCGATTTCAGTTCAGAAAATACCAAGTTCCCCATTCAAAGAAAGCTTGTTTCCATCAGTTTCGACGTCTCTCGAACCTCCCGGCCGATCGATCGATCGATAATCCATTTTTGTTTGTTTTGCTTTTCTGTAGATTTGGATCCCAAGATCAGAGGAAGAAGTAATATGGTGAGGACAAGAGGATGATGGGGACATCAGTCCTTAACCATAACCCTCATTTATTGCCCTCAAAAGATCTACCACAGAGTTCAGAGTGCAGTTTGAAGCAGAAGGAGCAGGAATATTTGTGCCTTCTGAAGAAATGCAGGAGCTTAGAAGAATTCAAACAAGTTCATGTTCAAATTCTGAAGTTGAGTATTTTCTGGGATTCTTTCTGCTCAAGCAGTCTTTTAGCCACTTGTGCTCTCTCAGATTGGAGCAGTATGGACTATGCCTGCTCCATTTTCCAGCAATTGGATGAACCTACCACATTTCATTTCAACACAATGATCAGGGGACATGTTAATAACATGAACTTTGAGAATGCTCTATATATGTATGATGATATGCTTCAGAGAGAAGTCGAACCAGACAATTTCACGTACCCGGCGCTTCTCAAGGCTTGCGCCCGGTTAGCAGCAATGGAGGAAGGAATGCAGGTTCATGGTCATATATTAAAGCTTGGTCTCGAAGAAGATCTCTTCATACAGAATAGCTTAATCAACATGTATGGGAAGTGTCGGGATGTCGAACGGTCTTGTGCTATTTTTCGGCGTGTAGAGCAAAGAAGTGTGGCTTCTTGGAGTGCCATAATTGCAGCTCATGCTAGTCTTGGATTGTGGTGGGAATGTTTGATGTTATTTGAGGATATGAGTAGTGAAGGATGTTGGAGGGCTGAGGAAAGCATATTAGTCAGTGTACTCTCTGCTTGCACCCATCTGGGTGCCCTTCATTTAGGAAGATGTGCACATGGCTCCCTGTTGAGGAACATCACTGAACTAAATGTTACAGTTATGACCTCCTTAATTGATATGTATGTGAAATGTGGGTCTCTACAGAAAGGATTGTGTCTCTTCCAAAACATGACCAAAAAGAATCAACTATCCTATAGTGTCATAATCTCAGGGCTTGGCTTACATGGACATGGTAGAGAAGCTCTAAAAATTTTCACAGAAATGATTGAAGAAGGCTTAGATCCTGATGATGTTACCTATGTTGGTGCGCTCAGTGCTTGTAATCATTCTGGCCTTGTCAATGAGGGTCTCCATCTTTTCGATAGGATGAAATCCGAGCACGGGATTGAACCAACAATGCAGCATTATGGCTGCATGGTAGACCTCATGGGACGAGCTGGTATGCTTGAGGAGGCGTTTGAGCTTATCCAAAGTATGCCTATAAAACCGAACGATATTGTTTGGCGGAGCCTTCTAAGTGCCTGTAAGATTCACGACAACTTAAAATTTGGTGAGATTGCTGCAAAGAACTTATTCCTATTGTCTTCACACAATCCTGGCGATTACCTAGTTCTGTCTAATATGTATGCAAGAGCTCAAGAATGGGAGAATGCAGCTAAGACCAGGACAAAAATGGTCAACAATGGCTTGATCCAAACACCGGGATTTAGCTTGGTGGAGGTGGAAAGGAAGGTATACAAATTTGTTTCACAGGATAAATCGAACTGTAAATCGGGAAAAATCTACGAGATGGTTCACCAGATGGAATGGCAATTGAGATTTGAAGGCTATATGCCAAATACATCAGAGGTGATGCTTGATGTAGATGAAGAAGAAAAGAGAGAGAGATTGAAAGGTCATAGCCAGAAGTTGGCTATAGCATTTGCTCTCATTCATACATCACAAGGATCTGCAATAAGGATAATTAGAAACCTGAGAATGTGTAATGACTGTCATATATACACTAAATTGATCTCAATGATCTACGAAAGAGAAATTATTGTAAGAGACCGGAATCGGTTCCACCATTTTAAAGATGGAAATTGCTCTTGTAGGGATTACTGGTGAATCACTGAACTGTTCAGCTATGATTTATGGGAGAAAAATTTTCCCTTATATTTTCAATTGAATCTCTAGCATTTCTCAGCAGCTGGGAAAGGTGGAGTGTTGAAAGTTCTATATGAAAAAATGGTAGGAAGCAAAGAATAGGCAAACGGATAACATTCAAGTGGAACCTTAATTTTTCTTCAGAATGGCACCAAAACACAAGTCTGCTACCACCTTGCATAATTAATGAATATTAATCAGAATACAAGCAGACCAATTGCAATATCAACAGTTCAGAATAACCACATTAGGCAAAATGATATGGAAAACTAGGAGAAGACATCAAAGAGGCCAATAATTCCGATCCAAGGGTGGGGGAAGAAAGTAATGCTAGTTCTCTTATTGATCAAGAAAGAGTTATACATAACGTAATTAAATGATATTACAACAAGGTATATCCAATTGGTTAATGAGTGAAGCCATTATTAATAATCTAAAAAGCTGGAAATAAATTTTCAAAGAAAATTCACATTTTCAATTGAGACAATAAATTATTCAATCTAATAAAACAAGATCGAAAACTTCCCTTTCCTAAATACGAACTGATGAAACAGCTGATGTAATTGCATTGGTTCGTGGATCGCCACTTTCCAAAGCAATACCGTGAGGATCTTCTCTAACAAGAAGACCCAAAATATCAAGTGAACTCCATGATTTTATCACATTGCTGGTTGAATCTCCCAAGGTAACAGCAAAAACAGCATCAAAGCCACCTGCGCCTGGAACTCCAGCCAACAGGACTCCTTCCATATTCATGGTAGCATCTAAAAGGTTGGTTTGTGAATCCGGCTCAATCTACAAATCCCAGAAAGTGGAGTTCAATATGCAATCATCTACACGTATTTGTCACCATCACCATGTACTGATAATTATCTACAGGTATATTTATTCGGACAAAATACTAGATATAATATGAGAATAAAAATTAAAGAAGAAAAAACTAACCGGAACACCAGCAGCTTCACCCATCAGGCGCATATGATGCCTGATCCCAAGCATAGCATTTCTTGCTCCCACTAATGCTTTGATGATGGCTTGCTGGCTTGGTTCAGTGGCTTGATGAATCCACTACCACATATTTTAATAATTTGCTTCAACATTAATGAAGATATAATAATCTTGAACGCTAAATAAACTCCAGGAAATGTGTGAACTATCAACCGGAACAGAAAATATTGTTCTTATTGCAATAGCTGCAGATAAAAATGTCTGCTTACATATCTTACTTCGAAAAAAGAATACACAAAGACAAATTTACTAGCAAGTACTTTTAAGCATGGGTTTTTTCTTTCTTTATTTCTTCTTTTTTTTTCAATGAATAAGAAACCAACTTTCATTAGCAAAATAAATGGGTCTCAGACAAGAACCAATTCTTTTATCTTTTGCTACAGCTACCATAAAATTTAGAGATGTTCCTATTTTCCTCAATGTTTGCTCAGAAGAATGGATACCGCATATAACATGGAAATTTGGATTTGCAAATATATTTACAGCTTTAATGAAAATTCATGTAAGGAAGACTCAAAATAGAAGCTAAACATTTCAAACATAAGAGAGAAAATGACATATTTCTAGATGATGTAACATGCTGTTACAAAGCAAATGTGTAGATACACTCATGAGAAAGAAGACAACCAGAATAATTTTTTTAATTCTACTTTTAGTCACCCCATTCGCCCCACATAACACAAATATCAAATAAAAGGAAGTCTTCATGAATTTCATGTGCGCCAGATACGGATACATTATTCAAAAAGGAGAAGTTGGGCTTTTCTGTTTCTATTGTTCTTTAGTGAGTTCTACTATGGGAAGGTGAGAGTATTTTCCAGAAGTCCACCTCTCACATTATGTACCTCTTCCATGATTAATGATCAATAATAATAGTTTTTCTTTTTTTTTTCATTTTCCACAAAAATTACTATTACTTAAACAATGATTCAGATTGTAACAAGAGTGAGAGAAATACCTTCTCCGAGGTCAACTTGCAACAACTGCTTATAATATATTTATAAGCATCCCAGTATTCTGCTGCAAGTTTACTCAACATATTGAGTTGAGTTTCAAGTTCCGAGTTTGCTTCTGATAACTTCCTCCACATGTCCAGGGACTTTTGAGGATCGGATTTTTGCCATTTTCTGACAGCACCTACCATTGAAGGTGTGGATGACCCTCCCACTCCTGGCTCTCCAAGTAACTGTTTAAAGAGCCATAAGGATAGACAAAAATAAATAGTATATAAGGAAGTAAAAAATGCACATAATTTAAGTACAAAGCCCAAGGAAAAGAAGAAACAAAAGTTTGGATTTCAAATTTCTACTCCCCCACACAGGTTGTCTTTATTTAAAGAAAAACAATTCTCCTGTAGATGTACTCCAAATCAGTCATACTTGTTAAGGAAGACAACTCACTACAGAAGTTATGGATGTTATTGTGAAATGCAGCTTTAGTTAATTGCTGAGCTTAATGACTCCCATAAATTATTAGAATTCAAGGTGACGGTAGAGGAAACATTAAAATTAATACACCAAATTGTCTACCATAGTGACCCGAATGAAGTAGACCAGAAAAAAAGACTTGTATTAAACATCACAAATAAAAATTAATGGGATTAAAAACACCAGTTTCCATTATGAAAAGATCAAGTCACTTTAAGGTGAAATTCAGATTCCTGTGTGGAACAAGTAAATGTAAACTTCAAAATGTATGTGGGGCATGCAAAGTTGAAGTAAAATTAAATTATAAGAAAGTATGAGTCTCGTAAAATTAGATTAAGTGGGAAAGTTTTGCGTACAAGAGTCATTAATGGAGGCAAAGAGAACTTAGTCTGCTCATGGTTCCACTTCTGATTTAAGATGTCGATAATGACCTCTTGTATTGGTATTCCATTCTTGGCAGCCTGCACGGTTGCAGACAGACAATAAGGCAACAAAATGAAAGAAATGAAAGTTTTAAGGGGAGAATAACGTCTAAATGTTATTTTAAAAATTGATGAGTGACAACAGTACAACACACTTAAGTGTTCTATTTTCTTCTCTCAACTTCAAGTTATTAAACCCACTAAAAGAATACAAGAGCGCCAGATTCCTAAAAGTTGAAATCATTTAGCCCAAGAGAGATCGAAACTTCTTCTTCTTCTTTTTTGGTGTTGGAGAGCAAGGTTCGTGATTGAGAAATGAAAATAGGAATTCTTAACATGGGTGCAGTACGAAACCTACTTTACACAGTTTATTTTTTTCAGACCATCCAATCAAAGTCGAATAAGTAATTGAGTTTGGTATCACCTCTTGAACATGCCTAATCCAGGTCCTATAGATGTTACAAAATTGGCACACCTTGCATTTTAATCTGACGATGGTAGGGTATATGAATTGGGTTACGGACAGTCTGCATGTTCAAGACCCAAGTTGCTTTTTTTAGTTCCCAGAACAAATGGATGTCCCCTAGGAGTTCTCTAGAAGGGCTATTAGGTATGTGAATCTAGATTACGATTTTCCTATCGAATGAAAGAAACACAATGCAACCATGCTTTATGCATCTAACAACCAACATTTATCAAGTTGCTATTCTTTGGACTTCCATCAGCTTCCTAAGCAAACAGAACCGAAGTAAAACAAGCCTATGGTGGAGAAAAACGGCAAAGCTCTCCATTCAGTAAAATTCAAAACAACCTCCCCATATCACAAGGACGTATGCACCAAAACTGATGAATTAGTTTTATTTAAGTTCAGAATGCAGTATAACCAAACAACACATGAAGAAGCCTATCAAGAAAAGACCTGAGCAGAAGAAAGCACTTCTGGTGAAAACCGAACATAGCGTTGACTGCCATAAACTGCAGAACTGACATCAAAGCCACTGCCAATTTTTCCTTGTGCAATGCAATGGGCACTTTGAGCTATCATATGCACCAAATCAAGATCCGCAGTGCCTTTCTGTTCTTGGTCATCTGTCAATAAGGAAAGATGTACAACCCCAAGGTAGTTAAGTAAAGCAGCAACTACAGCAGCTGTCATTGCAGCAGATGAGCCCAATCCTGTTTTTGCAACTTCAGGCTTGCAAACTTTCCCATATGATTCCTCGTCATTGAAGGTAATTGATGAAAAAGGAGGCAGGGAAGCCAATGATTCAGATGTTAATGGAAGTCCACGAGCCTCAATCTATGAAACAGAAGCAACACAAACTGTATCAGCAAGGTTCTAGAATGCAGCCAAATAATTTAGCAAGCAAATCAATTAAAAAGAGATAAACGCCCATTTAGGTTACCCCCGAATCCCAATGGTAGTGAAAGTGAAAGCAAGAGAGAGAGCACCAACAACAGCATTGATTCAACCACATATCATGTGTACAGCATTTTGACTTATAACTATAAGCAATGGGATAGTACCTGATTTCGATATGAGTAGAACTCATTGCTACCTAAAATAGTGATATCAAGACCTGCAAGATCAGTCCAAATAAAGCATAGATTTAGTAGTATATAGAAGAATTTTTTTACTGCAAGGGGAATGAGCAAAAAACTAAACACTACCTTGCACGAGCAGTTTGTGTAATGCATCCTTATTGTCCTTGTTGACAAATTTTGCACATGCAGCTGCTACACAATATTCCACTGCTTTTTCAACAAAAGGGTTTCTTGATTGACTGAAAACAGTTAGCAGTACATATAAATGAACACTAACGACAAACTGAAAAGCATTTTACCTCTATCGTATTAATACCCCTGATCTCAATCTCAACTAATAGAAATTCACTGAAAAGAGATAGAAAAAATAAAAGCCCACCCATAATATGATAAAACCACATAACTTAAATCACTGGAAATACAAGCGTGATGAAGTTCCAGAATGTAAGAAGAGACAAATGATCGAATGTAGCTAATTTTATTAGATAATAGCATAGAAGGGTGCTAATGAACAGAAGTTCCAACGCAAACAACTAGAATAACAAATTTACTTGCCTTGGAGAGACACTCTGAAGAGATTGGTTTTTCAACGACAATTTGTAGGTGCTCTCTCTCAGGAGCTGAGGAGATGTCAACTTAACATCTGTCCATGACTGAAAAAAGATCGACCATTAAGCAAAAACGTATTTGACAACTGTCGATTGAAATTTTTTTCTCAAGAGTTGGTCTGAATGTTAGCATTACATTTACATTGAACTCTAAAAGTAATATTAATAATGGTACTAAAATAAATGCATCTCAATTCCTATGCTAACGACTTCCTCTATGCAGTAGAATTCACCTCAGACAACTAATAGGTAGAAATTTGTTGAAGGTGAAATTCCCCAAGTTAAAAACTGCATAGAGCCAGAAGAAAATGACTACAAATATTTTGGTTGTGATCCTCAAATTGGCAGGAAATTATTTTGATCCCAATTCACAATGTACTATTTCCACTGAGCAGAAAATTTATTTATGAACAAAATAAAGAACATATCATCAACAACATGCAAATACCAAACAAAAATGCAGTGAACATATGTGAAGTTTGAAGGATTTAAAGCAACGAGTTTCACAGGGGATAATCATCAAAGCACCACGCACCCATGCCCAGCTGTCAGGCTTGATTTCCTCGTAAAGTGGTTTTACAATTGCATAAAACCGAGCATTAGTACTAAGGACGAGCCCTGCATTCGGTCTCTCCAAAACAAGGTAACCTCCGGTCATTAGAACTTTCCCTGGAGCAGAAGCAACCCTGCCAGAATGAAATTGCCGCAAAAACAATAATACAAAATCATGTCAACATACTGCCAAAAATAAATACCATACTGAAAGTTGTGCAGTATCCTTGACTACAGTCCTAGAGCAGAAGTAGGACCATATTAATTTCTTTTCTCGAGATCAAAATCAAAACAAGAACAATGAATCTCAAACAAAGTCTTGAATCGATGAATTGCAAATGAACATCAAGCTTAGAGGCTTAAATCACAGGACGAACACACTTACACGGCCATTTCTGCTCTTCCTCGATCAACTTCGACTTCGAATCAGCTGCAAAACCAACTCAAGCTAACTTTAATAGCGAACACGCAGGAAATCAGTGATTGATATTAAAATGGAAATGGTATACCGCAAATATGCAGAAAAAAGAAGAAGTCCGGAGAGAGAGAGAGCTACCGGAGGTCCGGAAGCAAGAGTTTAATCAAATTGGTAGAATCTCTAACTTCGACCGTAGAAGAATGAAGAGCGACCGTCGACTCTCAGCTCTGCGTCTGGCTTTCTGCTTGATTTCCACTTTGAAATTCACAGATTTTCAACACTTTGCGACTGCGTAAATGGACATTCACCCTGATCTCATGCTTTCGGGCGAAAGAAGGAATAATTTACTATCAGTTTGACTCTCCCTCTCTCTCTCTCTCTCGCTCAATAATCATGATTTTAGTATGTCGATAGAAATATTGATATTGGCATTTGTCAAGATATTGATGTCATTGGATATTTAAAAAAGAAAACAAACAACAAAATTATAGATATTAATATAATTTTTTTGAATTGATAGATAAAATTTTGATTATATTATATCTCACGAAAATGTCGATGAAAATATTGATGTCTAACTAATATTTCAGAAAAAAAATAATAAAAATATAGATATTGATGTAGTTTTTTTTTAATTAATAAATAAAACTTTGATTGTATCTTAAAATATAATCAAAGTACCATTAAGATATATTCAAAGAATTGATAAATAAAACTTTGATTATATCTTAATGATTTTAATTGATCACTTTTTAACCATTATATATAAAAATATGAAGAACTTGAAATGTTGACTTCGATGTAAATATCGGAACAAAAAATAAAGAAATTTTAAAAGTTTCAAATATGTTTCTAGACAATTTTAATTTAATTCCTATAATTAATTAATTATACCCATGTATATATGTGTACCATTCCTACAAATATTCTACATTGTTTGTTAATGACTTCAAAACCTACCCTTTCCTCCTCTTCGTTAAGCTAAGTTGTTGGATACACTTCCCCTCTTATTTTTTTTATTTAACTCGGAATCTTGATATAGTAAGCTAATAATTTTTTGTTTTAATTTATATATTTTTTTAGTACAAACTAAAAGTTATGATTTCTTAGATTTAACCCGAAGAAAATATTAAATTGAAATTTGTAAAACTATAAAGATAAAAAGAAATTAAGCCATGCAAATCATATTCCACTTTTCAAAAAATGGGAGTTCTTATTTTATAAGGAAGAGAAAGATACTCAGAGATTGAAATTCCCACATAAGGAAAGAACATCCAATTGAACCGTCCAGCTCCTGTATAAAACGCTAGCATATCATTCATTCAAAAATCACAGAGCCATGTGAGTTCAAAGAGAATTAATTTTTTGCCCTTCACCAGAATTTAGTTAAAAAAAAAAAAAGTTCCTAATTTTTGGCGGCATGTTAACAACGTCCTCAACATGTACGACGTGGGAGAAAACGATTTTCTCCGATGACATTGTTTGACATTCATATGAGTCGACGACGATATGAGAAGACAATTTTCCCTCTTTCGACATATCTGACTCTTTTAAAGAATAAATTGTTACCAATGTGAAAGTATAAAAATCAAACCATTATAATGGAAAAAGTGGCTTTTTAACTTAAATCCTAACTAGGTGTCTAGTACCACAATAGTTTGTTAAACCCATTCCCACAAAACAAATGTCTCTCATTGGTTTCAATTGATCAGGAGGGTAACCTATGGTGGCTATTGTTAAAAACAGTTTGAATAATCATACTGCGATTATTTGTAAAAATAATCCTATCAGCACTTTCAATATTAACCATACACTAAAAATTCAAAACTACTATCTACATTTTAATGTCAAATAGACTAATCCTGCCTATAATTTTCTAATAACATATATTAATAAAAAAAGATTCACATGACTAAAGATGTATAGTTTGCTCAATTCATTAAATCAGTTACCTCTAGAGAAGACCATTTCACAGCATCAAGGGCAGCAATCATAACTGAACATCAGAAAAGTTCTTCAATAATAAAGCAATAGAAGATGACCTTACTTGAAACAAGATCTGTTCTATAGGTTGTACAACTGTGCCCTTGAGTTCTAAGAAGACAAGAACTAAAGTCTGGTGGATGAACCACAAAAATAATAAATGCAATAGAAGAAAATACAACCTATAACAACGAATTCAAATTCAACTAAACCTTATCTGTATGATTGTATACTACTGATTTAGTGAAATAATGTTTTTGGAGAAAATAAAAAACCTTAGAACATTGTGTTTCTAATAAACTCATATAATACATACACTCATAAAAGGGATCAAAAATATTCTATGTGATTGGATTTTAGCTGATTATTGATCTAACTGCATTTACCGCTCCCAAACCAATCAACCATAAGATGGAGCCAGGCATTCGTCAACCATGTCTAATAGATTCGGATTTTCCAGTGCTGCTGCAACTCGTTCTTTGTCATTAAGTTGTTTATTTACTGCAGATGAAAAAAATGGTCATGATTGAAGAACCAACATGCCATATTAATATAAACACAGTAGCTGTGAATAGAACATTCTTTTTTCTTTTTCTTTTTTTTTTCCCAGAAGGATGACTCGTGAAGTACACACAACGTTAATGGAAATGCATGGGAAACTGGGTCTCTAGATATGTTGTTCGGACTTCGGACTACTAATGTATCAGAGCATTGTAGAAGTTAAAACACACGTGTGTATGATAAACGAGAAATTGTTAATGCATTACCTGCTGCTTCAGTAGCATGGGATCCAGGTGCTACCCTAATGTCCACCTAAAAAGATAAGAGTGTATTTTAAGCAATGGAGAACAAAATTGTGCAAGCAACGTGAAAGTATTTTGGAGTTCAGAATGAGGGGGAATTTCATAATTTGGAATTCTAGAATTACCCCCACACAATAACCAATTTCATCATGACATAACCAATATAAGATTATCTTAACCAACAGCTAGGGTTCTTTCTTGAAATTATTCTGGTTTGTTTGTTCCCTTCCTTTGGTTTGGCGTCATTAGTTTTCTAGTGGCATTCTTTTGAAAAACTTCCATTCATCTCAATGGAAGCTGGTTTTTTCGTACAGAGATATTATTTGGTTTTTTCGGTTCTTTTAGCAGAGTACTATTCACTAAAGATCTCTCAGTAACTTTAAAATCTAGATTTCCTATAAGATATCCATTTGTTTTCCAAACTCTAAGATACTGTTGAGTCCCCTGGAGAAGTGGAGTCACTATTATCGCTTTTTACTGATTCACAAGTGTCAAAATAACCTGATATAACATACTTGATTCGACAATTAAGTACTGAAATATGAGTACTAATTTTCCCAACCATGCATAAATAATGTTGAATGCCAGCCCAATATAAATGAATGAGATTAATACCTTATACCGAGAAGGAAGGCTCCTCATAAGTTTCACTCTCAGGCACAAACCAATAATTGTTGCCATGCTACAATGTTCGACTGTTGGTGTAAATGTAACTCTGCGAGCAACACAAACATTTACACAATGGATCACCAGGATAAAGATAAATCATTCATAAATGTTACAGCTGTGATTGATGAACGAGGTTAGACAACAGGAATGCCGAACAATTAGGGTACCTCACGTAACTACGCCCATCATCTACTTCAATGGCATCTTCCGTTATTACTTTAAGCTCTTCCAAAGAGTAAGGGTGCTCAGGATCTTTTATATCTCTAACATGATTTAAGAATGTTAAGGAAAAAAATTATAAAATGTAAATACCTACATAATTTGTTTCATAAACCTTTTGAATTCTATAAAACAGATAAAAATTCCTCTTCAAAAGACAGCTCACAGAAAGTGAATTAGAAACTGAATTTTAATTTACATAAGTGACACAAAAAGATAGGGCCAATGAAGAAAACAAACATGCAATGATGCAAACATTTTTCAAATAAGTGACAATTAATTAAATATCCTTACGGCATCAATGATAGAAAAAAGCTTCCTTGGGCCACAACTGTCCCGTGTACCACAGAAACCTTCGTTATAGATTATAATGAAAAAGAGTTTCATAGGTAAATTAATTGCTGCAAATAATTATAATAGTCTTCATGTTTTGTATTTACAACATTTAGTTAATAGTGCCAACTGCCAAATAGTGAATGCTTGATCAAAATTCATAACACGAAAGTGAAACAAAGAAAGACAAATTATAAAAATGAAAAAAGGATATCAAAAATTTCCAACTGATCAATGGCTTCCACTGCATATTCATCACTATCAAAAGGAGTGTTACGAGTCCGCCGCTCTTTCTTTTGGTATACAACTGGATTTGCATTTATCAACCCAGAAACCATCTTCTTGACTGGCCAGTACACCAACCGTACATTAAAAACAAATTTCATTGAACTAATCCACGACAGGAAGAAGGAAAAGTAAGACCAATACAGAGAATCGTCACATTTTCCACATTTGAATGTGATACTAATGACTGAATATAATCGGAAACCAAAAATCCGCATACACAGCAAAAGGATAAAGATATCAATCAATAAATTGAGTAGAGACATTCACAAAAACAAAACGCTTATCGAGTATGCTTCAACATGGCTGCAGCTAGAGCTGAGAAAAAAACTAGCCATTAATCACCTCACCGAATTTTGGAGGAAAAAAACATCACACAATCAATTCCATCTAATGAAAGAATTACGATAAAGAGTAAATTGTACACGAATACACCAAATAAAAGCCGTCTCGCTTATCCGCCCGCTTATACTGTATCAACGGTAGAACGAAGAAGCGCGATAAACCTCACAGTTCAACATCCAAAATTTCCATAGATGACTTAGAGAAGAACAAAATTACCAAAGAACATGAAATAAAACCAAGCAGATAAAGAAAGAAAGCGAAATAATACCTCAATGAAAAACGTTCAACTTTGGTAGGCGGGTACCAGATTCTGGGTCTACTCTGTCGGCGGAACTCCGATTCGGTCGAAGCCCTAAACAACGAGGCGGCGATGGCGGTAGAAGATGAACTCAATAGTGGCTTCGATAGAGCAATACGATGCTGCGATATGGTTTCGATTCCCGGGGAGCTGGAGGAGGAGGAATTCCGAGAACAGAACAATTTGAGGAATTTTGATTTTTGACCCACCTGTAAATTTGATCGAAATTATCTATTTTTGGCGGTTGAAATCTAATTTCGTTTTTAACTATTGCATTTTTTGTTCATGTAATTTTAAATATTGGATTTATCTAGTTTCATCAGTGAATTAACGGTTTGAAGGCGCGATTTCTAAATTGAGGGTGCCAAATAAGCGGGTCGAGTAGAAATCAAGTAAGTGTTGATTTTTTTCAGTAAAACAATTTTTTTCAGTAAAACAATTGGGATAGATAACTTCGAACTCATGATCTGAGACAGGTATCAATTGTCACTAAGTTCAGATTGGAACGTTGATTTTTTTAGGATTGGGACTAAATATATGAGGGTTTAAATCCAATTTTGTAGGTTAGGTTATTCATATCGTTTTTTTAGTAGGCGCCTATTGGATCAACATATTATGGATCTGCTTCGCCAATGGTTTTTCCTGCACCTCCCGTACATCAGGGGGAGTCAAAATCCCAAGGAAATTAGGGTCGCAGCCCTCTATTGAGCAACTAGCACTTGCACCTCGGTCTTCTAATAATAAAGAGCAGTCGACACTTTATCATCTTCTAGTAATGACCAGTTGCCTACAAATTCTCTTTCATCCTCTATCACAACATAGTCATCTCCATCTCGACGCTTGAATGGTTTTCCCCGATTCCTCCAGCAAAGGAAAAGCTCTTTTCCTAAATCAGGCACGGACATTCGACGAAAAAGGAGGACCTGATATTAAGCCCTTATCCCCCCTTCCCTCCCAACTTCCCTCCCAAAATAAAGGCCTGAATCTCCTATTTCTTTTTTTATAAAAAAATCTGTCTGCCCTGAAGAAAAATATGTGTCGCTAAGATTTTGATGAGTTGGTCAGATAAATATAAAGAGATAATTAGAAAAGTACCCTAGCTCTTAACCTTATATTTATGATGCATCCTTAGAAAAATGTTGATTCTTTTTCTGTTTTTTTTTTTACCAAACTCACATGACTTCATCGATTTATTTGAGAAATTCCACTTAATATTTATTTTTAAAATATCACAATTTTTACTTTTTTCTTTTTAATATTAGTTTGATCTCTATACTTTGATTTATGTACCATTAATTTTAGTTTATTTTAGTTGTTATACTTAGAAAACAAACCTCCATTCTAAAAAAATGAACCAAATTTAAAAATATAATAACCAATATATATATATATGTGTTTTGACGTAGCACAACAATGTGAAAATGAAAGAACAAAAGAGGCATCAACCATTTACACTTTACTTTTTTTAAAAAATAGCATAAATATGATTTTTTTTAGTACGTTTAAGATTAATCGTGCTATTTTTGTAAAATTTCATACTTTCTTCTCCATTTGAAAAAAAAAAAAAAAACATTTATTTTGTGCTATTTAGTTAAATTTTCTCAGTTTCGATTTGCAGCCAAAACTACGATCAAAACTAAGTCTAGTTCTAGAAGCAACCGGTTTCTCACAAGGCAAAAAAACTTACTGCAGGAAGAGGACTAGAATGATGACTTCAGTACCCTCTACCAACATTGAAATCACCAAAATGAAACAAACGTTTTGCCTATACGAAATCAAAGCATTACAAAACTGAATAAAACTTATTAAAGTTTCTGCATCTTGATCATACATTCAATAACCAGTGCGTTCCATTCTGATTCCAATCCGAAAGCAAACGATAGTCATTTTGTACAAGTTAAACCTGTAGCACTTTGAACCGCAAAAAGAGAATAGTAATTCAGATCTCTTGGAGAATTTGTGGTCGTTGGAGGGAGGAGTTTGGCAGACGAACCACAAACTGCTACTTTCCCCGTGCCTGAATCCTTCATTATTAAGCCATTTGTGGGAGTTCCAGGCTACAATTGATGGCAGACTCCGACTTTTCATTCTCTCGACAACAAGTTTATTAATAAAACACATCACAAGTACTTGAGCATGCCACGGCCCTCGACGCTGAGTTTTGTTGCTTGAAGTTGCTTCTTCTTTGGAGCCTTCAGTTGCTGCAACTTTTTGTTCATCTGACATGGATAATAGAAAACTTTGATTTCAGAATGGTGCATACAATAAGCAAGACCATGGAGATAACAAATGAATGGTCCCTAAAACTGTTGAGCAGTTGGTCACATCTTATTCTGCTTCTGGAGCAGCAACCGCAAAGATGTCTGAGGTGATTCTAGCAAAATCTACTTTGCTTATAAACACTTCAGTAAAATGTGGTTCTTAACAAACACTTTGGCAAAAGCACTTTACAGATCCTACTCTAACTATTTTGAGTGGCCAAAAGAATCCCAAACGCAGCCTTATTTTCGATACCATAAATCTCCTAACCTATAAAGTAAGGTCCCTAGCTCCAGAAATAACGTGTGATCCTAAACTTTTAAGATCCAATCTAAGGGGTACCCATCATCTAGCTTCAAATGATGACGCAGAAAACTAACCTTCATGCGACGTTGATCTTGCACAGCTTGCTTAGCACGAGCTCTGATTTCATCAGGATCTATCTTAGATTGTGGACGAACAACAAAATCCAATGGTGTCGCTTCAGGCCGTGAAGCATGTTGCCTGGAGGATGACTGACCAGACTTGCGTCCCCTGCATTGGTACCACAAATTAAGATCAATAGAATATGCAGAAGAAAGGCATGAAGCGAGAACAAATGGGAATTATGACATTAAATCTTACTGTGAGAATTCATCCAAGTCAAGATCTCCATCTCTAGATTCAATTCCTGCAGCTTTATTTCCCAACCTTCAAAAATTTTTACGAGAGGTTCCATTAATTTAATCTAAGAAGGCAACAGAAGAAACTAGAAAGTGTAGATATAGATAGAGAAAGAAGAAAAGAAAATGAAAGATAAAGACTTGAGGCCCAATTGGAATCCACTGAGTTTGAAATGAAGAAATGATAACGGCAATGACTATACAACTTCATGTTTAAACTTGATATTGAGTAAACACAAATTCAAAAGCATAGATAGCTAAATTACATTATTCTATTTGTATTTACTCATAAACCAATTAGATATAAGAGAGTAGAATAACAGGAACAACATTTGTTAATGTTAATATTAATCCAAAACAAGGAGGGGTGATAGCCAAAATTTGTAAACCTGCGTTGGTGAAATCAAATCCACACTCATAAATTGATTTTCTACATGAAATCGCCAATACTTCAAATTGGTTCATTTAGTTAATTTTATTGTCTCAACTTTCATTATTCATATGAAATTGAAGTTCAATAATTTTATTGTCTTAACTACCATGTTTCCTATCAAAAAAGAAAAAATAAATAAGTAAAAAAATAGATAAAAGAAGAGTACTTTTTCGCCAATGGTCTTCTAAAGGGAACCCTTTCATCTTCCACACTTCTCATATCCTCAAACCTAGTACTTTTGTTAAATATCGGTCGACTCTGCAATCATTCATAACATGTCACGAAATGTCAATTTTTCCCCATAAATTAGAAAGTTGAGCATTAAACAAATCAGCAACAAAATCCAACTAAAATGGTCTTTATTCCCTTGAGAGCACAACTTTTAGCCAGAAAACTCACTACGACGCATGGTAGTATGACTAAATTGGAAGTTACATGTATAGTTCTCATAGAAAGTTGAGCCCTACATGCAGGAAATAAGTAACAGAATCCTACTAAAATCATATTTTTACCCCAGAGAGCACATCCCAAAGCTGGAACATAGAGAACTCTTTGAAACAAAAACGATGCAGTGACACGTATTGTTTGAAGCGACATCAATTATGCCGGCATGGTGTATGAGGAAAAAAATTCAAAGAGCAATTCCCAAATTATACATAAAATGACCACCACAACACCATACTAATATTCTCCTTCCTGCTTCCTCTTCCTACTTTCATGAGAAAATGGGGGAAGCATTATCTTCTAGGAAGCATCATGAAATATGAACTACAGAGGAAAGGGAAAGGGGCAGCATTACCCATTTATCTACTAAATCTTTCGCAAGTTTTCGGTTGGATGTGGTTTCCTCATCAGATTTTGATAGGAACATAATGACCTACAAAAAATTGCCTCTTGAATCAGGAGGTAAAAAGACAAATAAAAGATCAGGAGTCAGGAAAGCCACTAAAAGGTGACCTCTCACTAACCTTCCCAAGGCCACTCTTCTTCAGCTGCTCTCTTCTATCATATTGTTCAAGATCTATTGGAAACTAAGAAAAAGAAATCCAGTGTTCAGCATCATGAAAGTACTTTCAATAACCATTATATTATGGGTTGTTAAAAGAATGAAAATTCCATTTACATCAGTCAAGATCTTCAAGATTGCTTCTCTGATATTTATATTCGGCAAACTCCCATCCGGTAGAGGTTCAAGCCAATTCTTTAGAAGAGTTAGCACTCCGTGATCCAAAAATTCTTGTTGGAGCTGCTTTCTGTGAAGGGTGGTTAGAATTTAAACAATAAAAACATATAAAAAATAGATATAAGCCTGCATAACTACATACTTCGAAAGGACATCAGTAAGAAGTGGCAGCTTTTTCAGTTTATTGACAGCAGGTTTCCCCTGCCTGTTAAGGTCAGCATCCTCTTCAGCAGTGACCTCAAGCTCGGCCATGACATTCTCCACTAGCAATGCTATTTCTGCAGGACTCTTCTCATTCTTCTTCTTCTTTTTACCCATCTTGAAGAGATCATTAATTTCTTCATCCTCCTCACCTTCCTCGGCCTATTAAATCCAAATAGAAAATTGGGTTATTGAAAGAACATCTGGGACATAGACTAATTGCTAGATATATTCTCAATGAAAAGTTTGTGTTTCTTGTAAAAGAATAAATTAAAAAAAAAAAAAATATATATATATATATATATATATATATATTAGATATACTTAGATACAGGCAATGGTTGATTGCTTTAATAGAAAATAAAGTAAGTGAACATATTCAGATGGAAAGAGAGCTCATGTTTTAACAAGTTCATATCGTTCATTCAATTATGCAATTCTACATATTAAAAACACAGTTCTTCAATTAACTAACATACACCCATGAAACAATAAGACATACTATTCACAACATGTTGTTGTCCAAAGAAAAAAAAATAATACTGACCTCGGGAGCATAGCGGGGAGAGCGTGGCTCATCATCACTTCCATACCGATCAGCAGGATCCACACCACTATCATCTATAAAATTATCATCATCTAGTGTTCTGGTACCCTCTTGATCTTCCTATTATATTAATTAGAAAACAAAGTTTAGAAACATATAACCAAAAACCATGAATTTTTTTTAATACAAAAAATCAAGTTCAAAAGGCATTTAACATCTTGAGATCAATGATATTTGAAGCCAAGATGGACATGATGCAAGTATCTAGCCAAAGGGTTTAGTTTTATCTATTATACAGTATAATTCAACGACATAAACCAAGTACCATTTTGACAAGTCTCAAGACAAAACCCACAATTTCTATCCAATTATTTTAATGGGTAAAAAACAGAGGAAACAAATTAAGTTTCTTCATATAATCTAAAACTTCAGAATAAAGGCTGATTTAGAAAAGATGACATAGAGGTGACGTCATTCCACAAACTCAAGACATAAAGCCCAAAATCCTTGTATCTACCAAACAGTCATCAAGCTTTCCTCATCAAAAACAAAGAGCAATTCATCGCTGAAAATATGATATAAGGATTCGGAAGGATGAGAAGTCATTTAGTTTGCACTTATATGGTTACAAGCTACAAAAATTATATATTAAAGCAGACTGACAGGGGGCCAGAAGACTAAAATCACAGGCCAAAACTGCCATGCATCCAAGTGTAAGGAAATATATGCAAATACAATAGACATTAGATACTTCCAGTGTCCTAAAAACACAACAAAATTTCAAGCCATTAATTTACAGGAATCAGAGGCCAAGAAACAAAATAAATTAATAAAGGCAAATTCATTCGATTTTATGTATTTTCTTTGTGAAGAAATTTGTATTAGCTAGGCCTATAAGAAATCCAATTGATACCAAATGGTTAGAGGCCAAGTTTAGAAGCTAAAAAGAAACAACTTTTCCATAGAGATACAGAGAGCACATAATATTAACAAGAGCGCAAAAAACACATCACGAACTCCACTTACTACACTTAATCCTGAGAAGAACAAAATTGAATAAATCAATCATAATAGTACTTGTACAACACGTGGAAAAAAACAAACACAATTTATATCGAAAAAAAGGGGCCTACGTCAGGGGAAATGGCGCTCAGATTTCTAAACACTTTTTTTTAACAAGAAACAAAATTTTCGTTGATAGATGAAAAAGAACATAAAATATTCAAAGATACAAACTCCCAAACTCTCAAGTGAGTGACAAGTAAATAACAAGAAAAAAGATACAAACAATAGCCAACAAGACAAAAAAGATTAGAATTACAGTCTGTACCAAATTAAACAGGGAAAGGGAAAGCCTGCCAATTAACATATATCATATTAGGAGAATAATGAGAAAAGAAATTGGATAGAGCACACATTGAGATGCTTTAAATTTGACTAAACTGAATACTGAAAGAAACAATTCATTCTAGCAGGCAGCATTTTAGGGGAAAAAACCCCAAGAAAAATAAAGAAGAATGCAGAATTCTTACATCAGAATCACCACCAGCAATAGTCTCCCACATCTCCTTGACATCCCCATCATGATCCTTCATCCCCTTGCCCGAGAAGGCTTTCTTCGATAACCTGCCCTTTCCTCCACTACCACTTCCAAATTTTTTTTCTCCTTTGAATCTCTTCTCCTTCTTCCCACTACTAATCCCCTTCTTCCTCTTCCTCTCCTCTGACCCCTCCCTCACAAACTGGTCCGGCGTAAAGTCCCTCACATCATCATAATCGTCCAATAAATTAGAGGGCACGGCTTCCTTACCAGCCAAGCTCTTTTTTATCAACCTCTTCCTGGGCCTGGCCTGGGGCTCCGATGCCTCCCCATCATAGACCGGTGTCTGAGATCGCTGTCGCCCGCCCCAATCACCAATATCCTCATCTAATAGTTCCTCGGGATTATACGGCTCGGGGGATTGCTCGCCGTCGGACTGTATATGGTCAAAGTCCATCAATGGTTCACCATCCTCGTCACGGTACCTGATACAAACAAAAACCTTAACAAAAGGTAACTTCAATCTCACACTTACAAAACCCTAATTCAATCAAATTTAAGCTCTCACGGATCGTCTTCGTAACCCATTGACGATGATGAAAATCGCTGGCAGAAATAGGCCAAGAAGTAAACCCGGTCGTCGGGAGAGAGAACTCGATTCGATCCTGATCACAGCTAATCTGACCCAAATACAACTTCGCAGCGGATCGGAGACGTAGACATTGAGTGTTGCGTTTTGCGATTGGAGAGCCAAACAAAAACATCAATAATTCAGCTTTCGATTCGATAAATTGCGGAACAAAATAGGCTTGCGGGGTGACGAAAATGGCAAATATATGCATATAATAACAATAACAGAATCAATAAATCAATAAAGCATGCTCAGAAAAGAAAAGGAAATAACTTCAAAAACCTAACAATGGCGAGCTTGTTGATGCAATGGAGACTGAGATTGACGGACAAAACACAACTTCTGGAAGAACGAATGGAAGAACGAATGGGGCCCTCGAAATCGTATGAAGGCAAGAAGATGAGGGAAGCAGAAGAAGAAGGCTTCTCCGATTTTTCAAGGTTCTCTCTTTAGTCGTTAGAATTAAGTATTAAATTCATAAATTTAACCAAAATTCGATAAATGATTTTAGATTAGGTCATTTGAAATTCGGAAAATGATTTAAATTTGTATATTTGATTTGAAACGATGACAATTTGAAATTAATATAATTAGATTCCTTGTTAGATGTTTTGAAAATCAAAATAAAATAAAAATTTTAATGATTCAGACTTTAATTTAAATTTATTAATTTAAAATAATATAGTTAAATTAAGTAATTTATTATTATTTTTTTCATCGAGTAATTTATTTTGAATTTCTACTAAATCTTACAAAAGCCAATTATTTTTTAGTTGAGAATATTAAATTTCAAACCATTTAAAATGATGAAGTACCAAATATTTGAAATCTGTTAAGATTTTAACTTGCTCAAAATTTTGAAATACAAATATACCCTAAACTACGAGAGAATGGATAAGGCGAGATAACAATCATTATTTTATTTTTTATTTTCTATCAGTTTATAATAATTGCACATTTATCTTATTATCAGTATTTTAAAAACATTTTTAAATTTTAAATCATATTTTGGACACCAAAAGAATAATAATAATTTTAAAAATCTTATCGTTGTTTTTAAAATTTAGCCGATCATCTAAATATATCTTCGGTTGAAAAATATATTAAAATAGTGTGAGAAAATAAATATAAAATTTAGACAACAATTTACTAAAAACAAAATCACCTTAAATTATGTTTTGGTATTTTTTTTGTTAGGAATGTCAAAATAGAAACCACTCACAGGCCGGCGCGACCCTTGAAAATAGTTTTGATATTTGTTTTGGAAGTCAACAGATGTAGCATTTATTTGTCTTTGATTTTGGAACTCAGCAGCCCAGTTCATGCCCTCGGCCCAAGTGTTTTAAAGAGAAAACTGGTCCAACTATTTTAAAGAGAAAAACTGAATACTGCCCATGAAAAGCAGCAAGCCCATAGCATAGGAAGTTGTAGCTCAGTCTATCTTTCTGCCCAGAATGAATGCCCAACGGAGATGTGTATAAGAGACAGCCCTTTAATCGTACTTTAATCTAAGCTATTACTTCAGAGTAAGGCACGAGACGAAAGGGTACAGATATGATTGAAGAACTAGGTTCTTCATATATGGGCAATGGCACTTCGACTGTAATCAGAGGCGAACATGGTTCCACGCAGCGCAAGGCATCTCTTCCTGCGCTAAGGCATCTTTTTTTTATGGTTTTTCAATCGCGTGGCCCAATTCAATTTATGTTTAAAGAAAAAATTTGAAAATCAACATTGAAAGGGCTCATTGTTTGAAACGTTTTCAACATTATTGCAGCATCTGTTTTAGCAGTTTTGCACGTTTTTATTTATTAAGATTTATTATAAAAAAACGTTTTTCATTAATTTTGGATAGAAAATGTTTTTCTCTAAGTCCTATATAAACCATCCTCCTCTCATTTGCAAAACACTTAATTTTTGCTCTACTTCTTCCCCTACTACTTTCTCTCTCGGTTTACAATATTATTTTTGTTTTCAACCGCTGTTATGAGCTGATTCCAACCAGTTTTCTGGCGAGTACACGCTTGAATCTGGGTGTTGTGTTAACCTTTGGAAGCAACCGACAATTAACGATATAGCACCGTGGTCATGTCAAATTTTGGTTTCAAGGCAGTGGGTTTCACGGCACAACAACGAGATCCTCCTCTTTTACAATTTGAAAGCAAAATTCTGATGGCTTCAATAAGATCCGGCAAGGTGCTTCCATATATATAAACTCGAATATTTGGATGGATCAAATTACCGAGGTTGGTCTCATAAGCTACTCATCTTCTTTGAACAATTGGAGGTAGACTACGTCCTGACCACCACCGCTGCCGACGTAGCTGTCGCTGGAGTTCCTGCCAGAGTTGCCGCCGTAGCCGCCACCACCGCTGTCGTCGTCACGCTGACAAGTTCGAGAAGGACAACAAGATTGTTCGCGGGTATCTCCTCAACCATATGAATGACTATCTTTTTGTTACCCAAAAATGTGCAAATATTATTTGGGACACTCTAGAGTCAAGATATGGTAAATATGATAGTTCCGTAGGAGCAAGTCAGAAAGATTGAGAAATAGAACCATCTGATTTGATTCGTTCTCAATAGCCATGTGATGATCATCTTAGGGTGATCCTTTTGTCGACGGATGCTCCTATTACACTCGTAGTCTCTGAAGGATGAGAACCAACTATGTAGCATCTACATCGAGAATTCAAGTATTGTATACGTCACTGGGAGAAAGAAGTATGTGGTTGGCAAATGACTATAGTTTCAAATGGCAGATAACAAACCAATCATGGTTCACGAGTACGAGAACTTTGTGGCTAACATTTTGCTAGTTTGAGGAGAGATTTTAGGGATTTCATTTGAAGATTTGGTATGTCGAATGTGGGAGATTGAAAAAGTGGATGAGTAAAATGCACTATGAGCATGAAATGTGTAATTATACAACTCTCCTAAATTTTAGGAAATCAAATTTGGCCATGACATGCTATTTAGAAAAACTTTGATAATTTTTCTTAACAATAACATGTGCAGGATTTCCTAAATAAAATTGTGACAAAGTTGAATGTTAATTGTTTTAATTATACTTTATTATATTTGTTTAAAGTATAAAATAAAATAAACCTTTATACATAATATTTAAAAGTAAACATCATTTAATGAAGTGAAAATTTGTTTTAATTATTATTTTTTAAACGTAAAACTTCAACAAGTTAGATTGTCGGATTAATAAAAAAAATATAACTAATTAAGAAAAACATCTCTTAAAAAAACCGTCTCTAACATGACGATTCCTATTTTGTCTTCGCAGTGCATAAATGAATAACTATAGCTTCAAACTGTTTGCAAGATAAAGTGTTTTGATTTCATTTCTATTATTTGACTCCCATGTATTTGAGAAGCAAACATGACTAAAATAGACATTATAAATTCTATTTAGGCTTAACTCAACTCGGTAAGGTAATATCATGTGTAATAAAAAAAATAGAAATTATAAATTCGTAAAAAGAGAACAAAATAGGACGAAAAAATAATTTAGGGAAAAGAGGAGGTTAATTAATTAGGAAAGCGCCAGAGACGCGCACGTCGAGGTTCGAACCCCGGACTCCGCTCCGTGGACTCTCGGGTCCCTCCCCTCTGATAGCTCTACAGGTCTTCAACCTTCAACTTTCAAGCTCCAGCAAATTTCGTTTGATGAAATTTATGTAAAGATTCACATACTTTCGTAAGTTCTACTCCCAATTATGGCATTACGTGTTCTCGGATTGATCTCTGCATCGTTCCTGCTGATTCTCTTCTCCCAATTTGACAGCTTAAAAATCCATTGTTCGTCGTGGTGAACTGGGTTTGAATTTCTCTGTTAAATTTGATTATGTGTGTGCGTGTATGTGTGTGTTTTGTCGCTCTATTTCCTGTTAAGTGACAGTAGAAAATTTTGGTGCGCAATGATTGAACTTCCATGCATACTTGTAATGATTTTGTTTAAGTCCTCTTTGCCTTCGCCTGCAATCATGTGCCTCGGCCTTTTATTTTGCCTGGCATGCGGAAATTCTGGAAAGAAATGAAAAATTCTCTCTATAATTGTTATTATTTGTTTAGATTGATTGAAATTATTGAAAGGTCATTTCCACCCAGTTTCATTAATGCAACCATTCTATTTGATAATAAATGAAAATTAGCATGTTAATGTGCAAACACGCGCGAAAGATTGAAGTCGTTAAATTTTGAACGGGATCCCGTCTATATCCCCCGCAATGCAACTCATCCCTTCACCTTTGGAGTAGAGGTTCTGAAAAATCCGGGTGGCCTCTGCTTCAATCAGGCTCCTGTCTGGCAATTTACCATCGAAGCTTTTTACAGTGTTCGTTTCTTCCAGCTGAAAGTTGAAACTACCAGATGAAACAATGAGTTCTATCTCTGTCCTTTGGGTATTTCATTTTAGCTATTCGTCTCCAGATGTTCCACCTTCATTTCTTAAAAATTAATTTATTAAAGGAAGTTGTCCTGTATGCAAAATGGGCGTTGGAAGATTTGAATCATGATTCATGGAGATGCCCCTTTGGTATGAAGGTTCGTGGGAAGTTCCTAGAACGAGTCAGGCGAAGCCCTTTCCTTCCCTTTCCTTACTTTAGGGCTAAACTCTATAAGCTGAAATCTAGTACCCAAGCCTTTTGAGAGTAGAAATGGTCAGGACATGATGGAGGAACTGATTGTCCATCCCCATTTGTAATGGACGTTGACTTCTTTGGCAGGTGGCATTATTCTCTTTCATTTGGAACATCTGGTTAGAAAGTAATAGGAGAACTTCATGGGTGTTAGGAGGAGGTTTGGTGTTCAGCTCACTTCAACAGCTCATTTGGGTGTCATCTACAAAGTCTCTTTGTAATTTTCTATTGTTGTTTATTCTAAACATCTTGAACCCCTTCATGTAAATGCCATATCTTGTTGTTGTGGGTTCCTTTTTTTGCGGGGCTCTTGTGTGTGTGGTGCCATCTCCAGTGAGGTTGATGCTTCTCCTTCCCTTTCTTTGGCTGGTTTGTGTATAGTTTTCTGTTTCCTGTAAATAAATCATGAAGTTTTTAGTTGTTGAAATTTTATGTTCTCAATCCCAAAGAAAGTAAAGCTACTATGGCTTGGTTAGTGTGAAACGAGGATAGAAACAACTGATATGATGTACGTTCTTTTTAATGTAGGATATTTTGAAATTTTGTTGGAAGGTGGGGTGGCGTCTGGTTGATATAGAATCATGGGTGGCAGTGAGACGAATAAATCAGTGAAGGAGGAATCCAAGACAACGCCTGCCACTATACAGGTCTGCTTGTTTGCTTTACTAAAGTTTAAAGTGAATATTGTATATGAAATTTTTTTGACAATATTAATAATAGAAGCATGAGTGGGAAAAACTGGTAATTTGATTTTTTTTTTTTTTAACAAGATACGAACTTCTCATTGAAATAATGAAAAGGAACAAAATTATTCAAAGATACAAACTCTAGAAAAAATTCGTAATTTGATTATATTTCCATGAACGAATCCTGCAGAACAAACAGAATTACCCAAAATTTTTATGTATAAGTACTTCAAAACAAACACACTTACCTTGATTCATAATCACATGCATTGAAATACCCAGACATCTAGGATTTTAGATATCCCCTGATTTAACATTCTATTCCCTCAAAATGATCAAAATGCACCCCTTGAGTCTATCAGATTAGACTTTGACCTTATAGAGGTCAATGATATGATTTAAAAAATTTCCAACCTCTTGAGAGATTTATGCCTTCAAATTTTAAGCGTTTTGCATGGTTGGTTCTTAAATTTTGTATAGTTTTGTGTTTTTTCAGGAGCAGTCTTCAAACACAAGCACTGGCACCGTTAATCCTGAATGGTCAGGATTTCAGGTTCTTTTTGTTAAAGGCTCAAGTTAACATGGTTCACTATTGGGTACGCATTGTGGTTTATTTCTCGTCCCTTATGTATTTTTTTCCTGTTTTCCTTTAGGCATATTCTCCAATACCTCCACCTGGATATTTGGCAACAAGCCCCCAAGCACACCCATATATGTGGGGGGTACAGGTATGTCCTTTTGTAGGTAGACTGCTGTTCTGTATAACATTAACCATTGCTTCAAGCTTCATAATTTTCTATTAGCCGGCATGTTCACTGTTCAAGCACATTTATCTTTGAGGTCAATCTCTTTTAGCATATGTAAAAAGTTTTTATCAGGCTTGACCAGAGGGTTTTTAGGTTATCATCTTACTAAAACATCTCAATATAATTTCCCATTAGTGTTCTTGCTCTTCCTTTTTCTATTTTTGTTATTTAAAAATATTGTTTTGGGGAAGAAATTTACTGTTTGTATTAACTAGTTGATACTGCAGTTTCCTACTATATGAGTTGATCACTATGGGAGGTTGTCTGTTTTGGAAAATAAATAATTATGAGCAAGTTTGAAGATATCCTCAAAAGAAGCCAATACACAAAGCACTCAAAATTGGCACAAATATACAAATAGAATAATTACAAAAAGGGGTACTTTCTATCTCTTCTAATTTTCTCACAGCTTAATGGTTTTGAGTGTGTCTGGGCTTACTACTGCAAACAAGAAGGAATTCTATTAAGATTGAGAACCTAGCAGGTTTATGCTCCTGCTCCTGGTGTAAGGGGGGACTTTAATGTTTAAAGATGGCAGCGGTGGAGCCGTGATCAGAAGTATGAAGAGATTTAATAAATGCATCGATTACCTCTCTCTTATGGAGATTCCTTTATCTAATGGATGGTATTATTGGTCTAATTTTAGATAGCATTTCATTCATACACTTCTTGACAAATTTATTGTATCTGAAGGGTGGTCCTCTCACGTTTAGGACTCCAGAGCGCCAAGGAAAGTTAGAAACACTTTTCGTTATTTTTCTATTCTTCTTGAGATAATGATTTCAGATGGGGATCTAGCCCTTTTAAATTTGAGAAATGCTGGTGAAATCATGTCTAAGTGCAACATTAAGTTCATGTGTGATTATTAGCTAAAAACCGTAGATTCCAGCATTTTGTAGTTATTTCATTGAGAGGTCATCCTCTTGGTTTTGAATTTTTTTTTGATGTAGAGATATTGGTTTCTTAGATCTTCTCTATGCTGGTGTTAGAATTCATGGCTGTTATGCTTTCAGATGTTCTTTTACCTTTTATAAACAGCCGAGCCTGCCAAAATTATCATCCATTTTTATCTAATTTAGCATTATTGTTTTCAAATGGGCATGCGCACCAGATATTATATGGAGAAGAAATCATCAATAAAATAAGGAATTATCCTCTTTTAGGCCACCTTTTACGTATGGAATAGCTGAACCTAAATGGTTTTGATTCTTTATTGGATCATAGTATAAATGTTTGATGCAGCATATTATGCCCCCTTATGGAACCCCTCCACATCCATATGTTGCAATGTATCCCCACGGTGGCATATATGCTCATCCGCCCATGCCTCCGGTACTTTTGTAGATTTTTTTTTTTTTCTGAAATTCTCAGTTTTATGCATGTATTTTTTATCTTTAAGATTACATTAACCCTAACAATCATGCGCTTGTCACAGGGATCATATCCTTACAGCCCTTTTGCTATAGCTTCTCCGAATGGCATTGCTGAGGCTTCTGTAAGTTTTGAGTTCCACTGACTTATAATTTTGTCTTTAATTACATCTTTTTCTCAATTTGAGTAGGACTGTAGGTGAATGACTGGTAAAAATTTACATAGGGGAATACACCAGGCAACATGGAAGGGGAGGGTAAGCCTTCTGAGCTGAAAGAAAAATTGCCAATTAAAAGATCGAAAGGAAGTCTGGGAAGTTTAAGCATGATAACTGGGAAGAACAATGAGCTTGGTAAACCATCCGGAACATCTGCTAACGGAGTTTATTCTAAAAGGTGTGGCATGTCATTTAGATATATTTGGTGACCGGTTGTGCTTTCGATTCATGAAGCCAAGGTGTTTAGACATGGCCAGACTACCATATTTACATGCTTTTAATTTTTTTGATTGGGGTCTTATATGGACACAAGTGCAACATATATGGAGCAGGGTAGCAAAAATGTGATATTTTCTAAATCCTCAAAAAGGTTCTATTCACAGATTTATTTTCTGTTTTGAACTTTTCTGTCAGTTTATTAAGAATAAGGAACTGTAAACTCGTTTAACTCGTTTCTCTTACTGCAAACCTTAGCTCCAGACTAGTATTCTGTCATTTTGAGCTTACCTCTCATCTTTCACATTTAAATTTAGCTTATCTGATGATGAACCTCACTCTGCAGTGCTGAAAGTGAAAGTGAAGGTACAAGTGAAAGAAGTGATGCTGATTCTCAAAGTGTAAGTGTTCCGGCACTCCATTACCATGTGAATGCTTATTGTACAGATCTCTCCATTATCCTTGGGATAGGGCATGGATGGGGGAGGCCTAAGTCCAATTCCTAGTTTCTTAAGAGTTCAAGGACACAGTTGTACAACTTAGTTTCTAGTTGGTGCATTCCGTTTCCTGTTTTATTGTGTTTATTGTTACGTACGAATTACGATCGGACATTAAAAGTTTACTTCTCACATGTTGAGTTATTCGTGATATTACTTTAGTGTTAAATTCAATATTTGTTACTTAAAAGTTGAAAGGATGGATAAAGTTCCTTTCGTTTCTATTTGATTATATTGTTTTACATTTACGATCGAAGTAAATGTTATATCTCAATCAACCTCTTCTTGTTTGAGGGTGTCCCTTGTGCCACTTGGGTTCTGTTATGATTCATGTAATTTGATCTATCTTAGCTTCACTGCTTTTTGTAGGATTCACAACTAAAATCTGGTTCTGGGAAAGATTCTTTAGAAGGTTTGGGATTTTTTTCTATCATGCAGTCACTGTACCCAGTGTTATACATTGATGAGGAAGTTTTGTCTCTGTTACAGGTGGAGCGAATCCTAATGGTTTGATCCATGGTTCTCAGAATGAAGGACATAGTCTCGCTCATCCATTGGTGAATCAAACAATGTCCATATTACCAGTTCAAGCTTCTGCTGCTGTTACAGGTCCTGCTACGAATTTGAATATAGGAATGGACTATTGGGGTGCGCCAACAACTTCTGTCGTCCCTTCGATGTGCGGGAAGGTCCCTTCGGGTCCGATTACTGGAGGTGTTGCTGCTGGATCACGGGACAGTGTTCAGTCCCAGCTTTGGTTACAGGTTTAGTCCAACTTTGTCGAAAATTGCGTATAAGCAGGCATGGATATCGAAAGTTATCATATAGACACACATATATCAATCCACTAATTGAGTAAAACGATAAAATTACATTGTCGAAATGGAAACTTGAAGATGAATTGAATTGGGGAGGGAGAGGACAAAAAGGGCATACTGGAATTTGGTGTTACGCCACCGTATGGAAGTGAATGAGTAATTGAAATATATAATTTTAGTGTGTTTAATGCAAAATAGTTCTTTAGTATAGGTCGGGAACATCAATGTGTATGGTCTGGTTGAACCAGCCTTAACCAATTCCCAATATGAAGAAAGATTAATATTCTTTCACAGCTTTCATTGTTTTTTATATGAAAAGAGGTAATTCTTTTTTGTGTGTGTGTTTGAATGTGGATTCAGGATGAAAGAGAGCTGAAAAGACAGAGAAGGAAGCAGTCAAATAGAGAATCTGCACGGAGATCTCGGTTGCGTAAACAGGTAAGTAGGCATCCTTTAAATTTATAATCTAATCGGGCGATCCTGAGCCACATGCTGACATATTTGAATCAAATGGACATGTCTGCATGTTTCTTTTTTTACTTAGGCTGAATGTGACGAGCTGTCTCAGCGTGCGGAAGCTTTAAAGGAAGAAAATGCGAGTCTTAGATCCGAAGTGGATAGGATTAGGAGTGAGTACGAGCAACTTCTTTCAGAGAATGCCTCTCTCAAGGTGATTCCAAAATCCTTAAATCCATACATTTTTACTATTTATCTCAATGAAGCAAAGAAGTAGAGCGGTGTATTAAATATTAAAAATCCACCCCTATCATCTTGAAGCTATAAAACAAAATTGTTCTAATGGCCTAAGTCCAATTCCTAGTTTATATGTTCTATCAAGAGCCTGATGGTTGCCAAACTGAAAATTGGTTAAGACATATATCTTCAATAAAAAAGCTGGAGGTTCGAATTTTCACTCCACGTGTTGAACTAAAAAAAAGGGTCTATGATTCAACAAATTGGTGGGTCTTTCCTTAAGACCCCATATGTTTGAAATTCAAGCTTAAAGATCGAATCTCGTAAAAATATTCCATGTTTAATATTCAAGGTAGACTAGAAGAATGGCCGATGTAACTAAGTGATGGAATGAAGGTTTTTCCTGTTAAAGATCTTTTTCTTTTTCTACAGAGGAGGCTTGGAGAAAGCGATGGAAATGAAGATACAAGATCTGCCAAAAATGGCCAAAATTCGATTAAAGAAGATCAGTATACAGCCCGGGCTGAACCCACGAAGGGGTGATCGGGATCTACCATCCTTGCTTAATTCAGATGCAGGCACATAACCTAACCAGTTGGTAGCCAAAAGTTTGCATAACTTGTCATTTACCTTTTATAAGAACTGACCACTGCACCCTCTTAGGACTATCGATCATATTTTTCATTCTTGTGGAGGCTTCGTCTTTAACCTCGACGCCCCGTGTAGTCGTATTCTTATACCCATACTTGATGAGTGTCATGCAACATTTCACTTGAGTTTTTTCAGTGTAAAATATTGTTTTTGTGCTAATTTGAGGTCGAGTCGTGGCATATCAGTATGCTTTCTAACGTATAGATTTGAGTTACAGCATGTTTATATTGTCTTATATTCAGCATCTCCATCACTAATGTCCTACATTACTTTTGTAAGAACAAGCTTGCAATTTTTGCTCTGACCATGCATTTGCTTCTCAAGTAGAATGAGATTACTATTTGAACCTGCCCCAATATCTCTGTGCTGATTCTCAATACACACAATGAGGTCTGTTTTTTTTTCTTTCTTTTTTTGGTAAAGTTTTCTATTTACTTTGTAGTCCTTGCAGCTTTTAGTATAATCCGAGATATGTTCGGTAAATAAGGTAGTTAAGTCCTATTCACTTCAAATGAAGGAGAATCAATGAATGGAAATCGAGTATTTACTAAATTATTGAAATAGAATTGGGGCTTACTTCAAACTCTGTAGTCACTCATAAATGATAGTGTAATCATATTCTTCAACTGCAATCTTGTCAATTCTATTTTCATTCTCTATCTCGGGCTCCACATTTGTAAAGTACCATTTATTTCTGTCTAAGACCCATTACTTTTTAATTAATTGTTTTACATTTTTGTTAATTTTTTATTTTGTACCACTAATAATGGTTCTTCTAATAAAAATTATATAGTTGATGTGATTTTATTGTAAAATAATTAAAATTTCTATTTAATATGTGAAAATGATACTCGATAAATGGTTTGGATTTGATTTTGGTGTTTTAAACATGAAATTGGGCATTTGTCACTTTTTAGCGATTTGGTTTTCGTATTTTAAACTTGTGTTGTGATTGTAAATTTTTTTTTTTCTTTAAAGAATGTTTGATTTAGTTTATAAAGTTAATCGTTCAATTAACATATAAAAAAAATGGAATGATCAGAAAACAAACAAAGTTAAAGTTAATTTTCTCTCTTTGTAATTCATCCATCAATATTGGAAGTCTGATAAGAAATTTTTTATCGATTTTTTTATTTCATTCTCTAAATTATTGCTCCAAATAATTAAAACCAGAAACTAACTAATAAAAATTAATACATAATTATAGTCTAAACGAGCATAAGTCAGCGGTAATTGACATATACATCTAACTAAGAGGCCTATATATAAAAAAAATCTAGAAATTTAATAGAAAATTAGGTAGGATGACAAAAATATTATATATATATTTAAAAAAAGGTTATTACTTTTATTTTTTAAATATTAGTGTTACAAATTTTAAACTTGCTGCTATATTAAATAATACACATTTTATTTTATTATTTATATGATTGCCTAAAAATATTGGATATTTTGAAGACTAAGAGGATAATTAGTGAAATCTAAAGTATACTTTTGAATTTTTAACTGAAAATGTGAACAGCTGAAAACAAAATAATAAATAGTCATTCGTAGAAGAAAAGAGGAAAAAAAGAAGGAAAAAAAGAAAAAACTCAGAAAACGTAATCCAGTTAAAAACGTAATCCCTCGAGCGGCTCTTTCCGTCGTGATTCCGTTGGACGAAATGAAGATTTCGGGTGTAATCAGCGACGTTTCCGTCGTGATTCCGTCAGCTGGCGGCCTCCGGTCGCCTGAAGTGAGACACTGTCATGCGCCTATCGATTCGAAGAATTCCATTTCCGCCGGATTCTTTAGAGTGAGTTTTCGATTTCCTGTTTTACTTTTTGTACTTTGACCTCAAAAGCTAGCTAAATTTTAAGTTTCGATGGGAGAGGTTGTATTACAGTGTTGTGTGCTTGATGTGTTATCTGATAAATAGGCCTAGTGAAGATGTAGAGATTGATCGAAAATGCGTCCTAAAGGCAGAAGTAATCATATAGGCTGTTCTTTTATGAGTGGAAAATTAGAGCAATATTTTCTTTGATCGGGAAAAGGAATTTTGAATAGTCTATAGTAGTTTAGAGTAACGATTTATGTTATGCATCTTCGCATTCATACCGGTGCTAGATTCTTTTGGGCTTCCCTTAGATGCCTGTCTAGCTTGGTGGCTAATGTCGCATTTGTACATATTATGAAGTTTTATTGTCATTTACTCATTAATTAGTAGTTTTGTGCTTCTAAAACTCCTTGAAATTGTCACCAGCATCACCAGAATTCTAAAATTAGATATGAATGTAAATTTCGAATGACTTCATAACAGTTTACGTCATTTCATAATTGTTTTTTCCCCCCGTAGAACGTAACAATTTATGATATATAAACTTTGTGGGTATTACCTCTACTTGGTGGCAAGGAATTATTGAATGTGTGTACTGATTTGTGATACAGCTACTTATTTCCTGTTAAGAGAGCAGTAGTTACATGGGTGGCCTGAAAAACAAATACTATTCATCGTGATTTTGTTAAAATTATTAGGAATCTGAGAATGGTATATGGCTATCATACTCCTTTTTTTTTCTTTTAATACGTGGAAGTGTCCGAGCCAGTTTGCATGCACTCCAACTAATCTCACGAGACAACTGCTTGACCCTACTACATTTGGTTGCCAAAGAAACTTATAGGATATTAAATCCTAGATAGATGGCCATCATGGTTTGATCCCATTATATATAAGTCCTTTACTAAAGGACCAATGGGCCAATCCATTATGGTTTATATGGCTATCATACTTCACCAACCACGAAGTCCCTTTTTTTGGTTTTACGCTCCATTTTTGCTGAGAGAGCAATATTAGCATGCTTGATTTGAAGGGAATTTTTGAAGAGGAATTAATTGAGTAACAATATCTTCAATGGCATTCTCTTATTAAGAATATTATATTTACTGATTGGCTATCGAACTGGATTAAATAAATCCCCCCCTTCTTTTGGTGATTAATTTGTTTAAGCACAATACTATTGTATTGGGGAACCAAGAAATGGAGAATTTATGTTTCTAAAATGCATTGGATTGGGAAAGTTTTGAAGGGAGTTTCAAATCAAAATTGGAAACTATATCATAATTGTCCTTTGACCCATGCGTACTTGTGTCAGTTTATCTTTCAGTTTGTTTAATTCTTTTCAGTTCTTGTAAATCCTTTTATGACCTTCTCCCTTGGTTTTACCAGGGGTGTTCGTCGTTTTACATACCGAAGTATGGTTCTGGTGTGGATAAATTTCGATTAAGGGGCTTAAGTATAAGAGCTTCAGAGGATTCTCAAAACGTGTTTCCAGTTTCACCTGTTCAATTTGAATCCCCAGTTGGCCAGTTATTGGCTCAGATATTGCTATCACATCCTCATTTACTTCCTGCAACTGTTGACCAGCAACTGGATAACCTTCAAACTGAGAGAGATTTGCAGACAGAAGAGGCTTCTTCCTCGTCTCAAGATCCTCTCTACAAGTAAGTGCGTATTCTCTCTTTCTTTTCTCTCAGCAATAAATCACATATATAGGCGCTTATGTTAAGATTATGTTGAATAACAATATGTTGTGTGGAAGATTGTGCATTAAGCTGGAATATTCATGTTTGAAGTTGCTCGTTGGTCGATTTTTACCTCTTAAATTTAAAAGAAAAATGAATTGATTTTGGTTGTTAAGGCTATTTCCATGCTTATGGGTCCACCACAGATGTGATTAAGGTTTGGTACATTGTCCAATTAATCACTTGATTGAACCCATGAATCTTAGGAGGATAGCTGAAGTGAGAGAGAAAGAAAGGCGAAAGGCATTGGAAGAGATATTATACTGCTTGATTGTTGGAAAGTTTCTGGAGAATGAAATTTCAATGATCCCCAAGATCTCAGAAACCTCAGATCCTACTGGCCGAGTTGATTTTTGGCCAAACCAAGAGCAGAAACTAGAATCTATTCACTCTCCTGAAGCATTTGAAATGATACAAAGTCACTTATCTCTTGTCCTTGGAGATCGATTTGTCGGTCCCCTTACTTCCATTGTTGAAATGAGTAAAATAAAACTTGGCAAGCTTTATGCGGCTTCTATAATGTATGGATACTTTCTCAAAAGAGTTGATCAACGTTTCCAACTTGAAAGGACCATGAAAACTCTTCCTGAAGCATTTACAAAAGACTTTGACGAGCCGATACCTGCGAATCAACTCTGGGATCCTGATTCCTTGATCAGGCTTCCCCTTGATGATGAGGGGGTAGGTGACAGTGGGGGATTTTATGATACAGATGCAAGCAGATCATACAGATTGCGATCCTACGTGATGTATTTGGATTCTGAAACACTTCAAAGATATGCAACATTGAGATCCAAAGAAGCCATATCTTTGATCGAAAAGCAGACGCAGGCATTGTTTGGAAAGCCAGACATTAGGATAGCTGACGATGGTTCGATCGACACATTCAATGATGAAGTGATCACTATTACTTTCTCTGGGCTGACAATGCTAGCATTGGAAGCAGTTGCATTCGGATCGTTCCTCTGGGATGCAGAAAGCTACGTCGAATCGAAATACCACTTTGTCAAGAGCTGAAAGGAGTTTCATATTTAATATGTTGATGCTTTTGATGGTGTTTAGACTATTGCATTTTTTGAAAGATAGTTTGCTGAATATGGCAGAAGCTTATGCTCGAGCGAGGACCACAGCGGGTTATTCAGCAACGGCACGAGAAGAAAGGGGCTGTAGTTTTTTTTAATTTAATTATCAAAGATGTATATAGTGTGCCAATGGAATTGGACAAAGATTATAACTTCTGTAAATCAAATTAGGAACTGAATTTATACTAGAAGTCACATTGTTTGTAGTGGTCTCATTCGATGATCTTTTTTCTTTTGGGATACTAATTGCTGGATGGATTTGACAAGATTTTCATAAAAGTGAAGTGTTTTTAACTAATAAAAGTAGTTAAAAAAAATTTACGATGGTGTTTGGCTAATGGTCAAATGCTATTAAAATGAACATTAGCCTTCAAGGTAGGTAATTAGTATCTTGTTCATGGTAGGAAGAAAAATAAAATAAAATACAAGTTCATAGGTTCTGGATGATTTTACTCGCCACATTATTTGATTGAGTCTACTTATATCAATCTTATTATTTTTTTTTATGGTGGTAATTGGTATGTACCTCAAGTTCAAATCTCCCTCTTTACATATTATACTTTAAAAAAATCTTTTATTATTTATTTTTAATGTAGAAACAATTAAGATTTCAATAATGTAGTGGGTGATTCCTATCACATCATGTCATCTGACAAAATTCAACTGAGGAGAAGTTGAAGAGTTATTTAATAATAATTTTTTTAAATTAAAAATAAACGTACAAAGAGAGAAAACGCAAAACAATAGATAACAATTTAAAGTATATACTAAAGTAGTAATAGATGATAACTCCTTTAAACACGACATCTTTAAAATATGAATGTATAAAATCATAAACATATAGTAGAAAAAACTTAAATAGAATGCTCGTTCAAAAATAATAATAATCTTTTAAGTAGAATGAAATAAAAAGGTGCATCCATATTTGTCTTTTTTTTTTTTAAGAAAAAAAGGTTTCTTGCATCAATATTCAATCAAACTTTATTTTAATTTATTGATACAATTTTTTTGAAAAATAGTTAACAATAATATTTTGGTTACTGTATTTGTTCTATTTTGATCCATATATTTTTAATGTCCAAAATTAATCCTTTTACTTCAATCTTAAAACATGGTTTCTCTTAGAAAATTAAGTCTCCATCAATCTCCCTTCTAAAAATTTTAGAAATATTTTCACATTGTTCTTTTCTTGAAAGGATATTATTATTATTATTATTATTATTATTTCAAGTTAGAGGAAAATTAACTGGGCGGAGAAGAGTAGACATGGGGACTCGAACGACTTCTGAATATATCATATGAGATTTCTTTTTTGTCACTACGCGCACAATAACATATAGCTGAAGAAACTTCTGAATATATCAGATGAGATTTCTTTTTTGCCACCACCCTAAAAGTAAAAAACTAGAACGAAAGGAATCTGGAAACTACAAGATTAACATGCTAAAATAATTATCTATTTGCATAATTTTCATCATATGATCCATTAAAAAAAAAACACCGTATGAATCTGATGTCGGATTAAAAATGTAATAACCGCACTCTCCGGAATTATCCGGAGGATTAGACTTTTAGCTGTAAAATTCACCAGTAGTAAAAAGAGGGGCGTTTTCGACATTTTTTTCTTTTTTTGAGTACAGGGGTGTTTTCGACATTTAAACAACAAAGATTGTTGAAAAATAAGAGGGTGACGACAGCTTGGAACTTCTAATCGCGACGCCGTTAGTCTCGGACACGGTTTTTAGGTGGGAGCCTTCCACCGTGTCCGCCCGTTTCAGACCGTTGGAAACAAAAGTTTTTTATTTTATTTTATTTTTTATAATATATATATTAACATTATTGCCATAAGACTGACCTGTTACTCGAGTAGGATAATTTTTAGTACTATAATATTAATAATCATTATGCATTAATTATTTAGATTATTATTACTTTTAGTTATTGATAATACGTCTCAATAGATTCAATAGATTTGATGGTAATGATTTCTATAACTACATTCTCCTTTCTCAATCACTCTATTTTGTTTTTAATATTTTTAATTCTTTTAAAAGGACTCTCTCGTATCTTTTTTTTCTCGCTCTCTTCTGATTTTTAGTTTCTTTTCGAAATTAGTTTAAAGTAGATATATATTAATTTTTTTTCCTTATTTTGTCTCCATATGTATAAAGTAATTATTTCGTCATATTATTTCATCGTCAATACGAAAGATGGACGATTATTGAAATACACGTTAATACTACGTCTTAAAAAGTTTCAATGGATTATTTAGAACTAATTAATCAACATTTTTGTACAAATAAAATTTCCACTTTCAACTTATTTTTCCTTATTTGGTTCTACCTAAAAAAAACCTAACCTATCAACTCCACAATAGGTTGATTTCATTAATTATTCAATTAGAATACCTCTTGACAAATTAACCCAACCAAAGAAGTAACACAAAGAAGAGAAAAATGGAAGTCTAGCATCATTATTAATCAATTCAAATATTGATATAATAGAATCAATACATACTATTTTATGAGTACAATTACAAATGATAAAATATAAAAATTAAATGGAAATGATTTGTGATGATACTATTAAGGTTTAAATATTATTTTCGTATATGTGTTTTTTACTTTGGTTTATTTTGGTTTATGTACTTTCAAAACGTTCATTTTTATATCCGTACTCTCAACTTTTATTCATTTTAGTCATTATGTTTTTAAAATGTCTGTTTTGATCGAGTAACAAATTTCGTCCCCATTTACAACTTTTTTTAACTTAAATTTTACAATACAAATTTAAAAGATAAAATGAAAATGAAATAACCGAAAATTTTCACTTTTTAAAACTACAAAAACTAAAATAAACATTTTGAAAATACAAAAGCTAAAATGAAAAAATATTGGAAGTCCATAAACTAAAATATACCAAAGTCGAAGGGGACTAAAATAGTTTTTAAACTTATTATTAATAAAATAAAAATTTTGAAATAAATTAGATTCAATTTTGGATAGTTAAAGACACGTATAGCTCCCTTTATAAGTTGTAAATTTGAATATTCACCTCGGAATAAACGAAATAAAACAATTTGTAATAATAAATTTTTTTTCCCTTAAAATCTTTTAAGTTTTAGTTCTTCTATTACACCCAATATACACACATAAATGGAATATAAGGTTTTATATCATAGAGTATATATCCAGAAAGCCAACAAAAATGATGATCTTTTTATTTTTGGCTTTATCCATTTGATTTTCCTTTCTTTACAATATTTAAAGCAAAAATAGCAAGTTTTTTTAAAGTAAAAACTTTTAAGGTTAATGGCTAAATTAAGCAGTCAAAATATATTGATTGGATGGAAACACCTGGCTCTATAAAGCATGCACTAACACATCTGACCCAAAACCAGAACTCTGCCAGAAAGATTTATTACCTTTTTAAAACAATTTCTTGTCATTTTCTTTTTTTTTGAGTATTTAAAAAATAGAAATCTAAGGCCACCAGCTCATTAAAAGGTATATAATTTCTTCACTTGCTCTTTCTTGTTCTGTAGAAATACTTTTAAATTTACTTCCCTGTATTTTATTTTTTTTTTCATAATTTCGGTGAATAAAACATGGCATTTTGATGCTACTTAATTTAGTCAAATCATATAAATGCCAAACTTAACATGTAATATTAAATTATAATAAAAAAAATAATCGGATTTTGGTCCTGAGATTTAGAATATATTTATTTGGTTCCTAAAATTTCAAAAGGAACATTTTTGGCCCCTCAGGTGCTTTGATAGTTTGTAATGTTAATGGAGCGATTAATTGCTGACTGCGTATGGTTGATTTGATAAAATATATTAATTTAATAATATTTTTATTTTTATTAGACTTTCCATATTCTTCCCTCTTCTCCTTTTTTTTCTCTTTCTCCATAGAACTTTGCAGTCGCTTGCCTACCAGATCGGGAAGAGAAAGTAGGCAATAGTAAAGAGAACGGGCGACAACATCAAGAACGGCAAGGCAGCGCTGGCAAGGAGCCAACGAGCAGTAGCGAGATTCACCAAAGAGGACGAGGAGAAATGGGAGAGTAAATGAGATGAGGGAATGGGATGGACAGTCCAACCACATTAAAAATATTATTAAATTAATATTGTTACCATATCAACACCAACGGTCTAATCATCTCATAAACAAGTTAGAACTATTTTATAAATCTCGGAGATAAAAAATATCTCTTTTGAAATTCCAGGAACTAAATAAACATTTATTTCGAATTTTATGGACAAAAAATATACTTATCCAAAAGTAAAAAAAATCATTCATCTAAATACTAATACATTAATAAGTACCTACTACGTCATTACATGGTAGTAATTTTATTTTTTAAAAATTAAACGTGTTTACTAGAACTATATTTATTTTTCAAAATTTTAACACACTTATAATATTAATGATGGTTAATTTAAATATAATTAATTTACATAAAATTATATTTTGACACTTACTTATTAAAAATATTTTAAAAAATTAATTTTTATTAATTCAAACACAACTTGGTAGATAAAATATATGTTACATTTTAGACATTAATGACTCGATTCCCACCCCATAATTATTAAACTAAAAAGAAACCACGGGTTGAAGTTTTGATTTTACATTATAAACTAGAGAGTTTGTCAAACCCCTTTTCTTGACTTTCAAATCAAGAAATTCAATCTTTCATCGTAAGCAAATTGCATGGATGACACAAAAATAAAATAAATTAATAAAACATTATATATTTAAAATCCATAATCCAATATTCCACCTCCTCTCTTTTTTTTTTCTTTTTTTTCCTTTCCTTTTTTCCCTCTAAATTTTAGAATAAGGATAAGCGCCAACCTCAGCAATCCATTTCACAAAAATAATGGCTCTCCCGAAATACCGGCAACAACAAAGGGCATCTCCGTCATTTCACCTCTCCAAGAAAAGAAATTTAGTCCGAAACTCCTTTGGCCAATTTCAACCCTTCCTCTTTCTCTCTCTCTCTCTCTCTAACATAAATTAAGCATTCAATTTGAAGCCTCTGTTCTCTTCATCTTCCTCGCCATTCTTTTCTAAAGATTTTGTGAATATTATTTATACAGAACCAGAGGCGAATCCTAGAGAGAGAAAGAGAGGAAGACGAAGAGAGAGAGAGAGAGGGAGAGAGAGAATTATGGATGTTGTTTGGTTACGTAGTTATGGAGGATTGATATTGATCTTCTGCTTGTTCTGTAATTCCGTTGCAAATGCTTCTTTGAATGTCACCTCAATCCGTTTCAATGAAGGCTATTCGCCTCTCTTCGGCGACGGAAACCTCGTCCGCTCCCCTGACGGCAAATCCGTCCGCCTCCTCCTCGACCGCTTCACCGGTATTTTAATTTTACAATCCCTCTCTGTTTATATGATTCGATTTCTGGAGAGTATGTTGTTTGAATTCCGCTGTTGGATTGATTTTCTGTTTTTCGTTTCGATTGAATTTTTTAGGCTCCGGATTCATCTCGTCGAAGATGTATAATCATGGATTTTTCAGCGCCAGAATCAAATTGCCGTCGGATTACACAGCCGGCATCGTTGTAGCCTTCTATGTATGTTGCGATGCTATATCTCCTTAATTGTTTGGTCGCTGAGAAAATTTTCAATAGCCAAAAATCAGAAGCCGCTAAAATTGAAATGAAAGACTAATTCAACGCGAAATCTTGGTCAAACAGGAGTCATAACCGTTGAATTAATTTAATCGAATAGAAGAAACCTTGAAAAAGAATTGAGTTATTCAATCTCAGATAAACACCGTAAGGAATGAGTTGACAAATTTTCTTTGATTCCGCACACTGCAAATATAATCCATCCTCCTCCATGATTGCGGATGATGATCACCGTTGAATTTTGGTTCATTTTTGTGCATGTTCGCCCATAACAGACCTCAAACGCTGACGTATTCGAGAAGAATCACGACGAGTTAGACTTCGAGTTCTTGGGGAACATTGAGGGAAAGCCATGGAGGTTTCAGACGAATCTGTACGGAAACGGAAGCACGAACCGCGGCCGGGAGGAGCGGTACCGCCTCTGGTTCGACCCGACCAAGGAGTTCCACAGATACAGCATTCTTTGGACCGCTCACAATATTATGTAAGTATTTTATTTTTTTTAAATGCTTTTGAACTTATTTTTAATCTTTAGTTAAAAAAAGAACCGTATTTAGCTCAGCTAAGAGTAAAGAAAGGAATGGAAATCCAAAAGTTTTGGGTAAAATCCACTTTTAATCATGATTAAGTTATACGGAATCCTTAAGTTTCAAAGAGTGACTTTTTGATTCTCAATATTATCAGAGTTAATATGATATAATACTAACATTTATTAATTTTATATATTTTTTATTAATAAATATTAGTGTCACATCAATTTCAAAGACTTTTAAAATTATTTTTTAAAGTTAAAATTTAAGAGTCAAATAGAAACTAAAAATATGTTTTACTCAAAAATGTTATACTACTCCACGGTAGGGAGAATTTTCCATATTACGTGGCCTGATTATTTTAAGCCAGCAGTCAAGAATTATGTAAATACGGTATAAATAATTTATTTGATAAATTTTAAAGTGAGTCGAGGCGTAGAATAGGTATTTTGGGATTAGTTGAAATTTTTTCCATGAAAAGTTGGGTTGCGTGTGGGATTTGATGGATGGATAGTTCCACCATGAATTGTGCCATTAAAGAAATTAGATACGATACGACTTATTTTCTGGTCATTTTCAGTTTTCCTTTCCTGAATCCTTGCGTTGAGGAATTTCCTTACTTTTTATCCCATTTTCATTTTCATTCTTCTTCCTCTTTCTCTCTCCTTCTCGGAATTTATATGCGTATTGTTGATTTGATCAAGTTGCACAGAAACTATTTTATACTCTAATTGTTTATTTGTTTGGTTCTCTATATTAAATTTTTCTTTTCTAAATGATAATACGAATCTTAGCTGAATTATTTTTTTTTTGAAGAAGTTTTTGTTTTCAAATAAACCGATTATCAGAAGAGTGTGTTCTAAAGATTTTTTTCCTTTAATTTTTTTTATTCTTTATAAAAGATATTTAAGCTATGATCATAGAAGTTAAACGCGATACTTTTATTCTTATGCTTGTTGTGTCTTTTCTTTATGGAAATTATAGGCCAGGGAATCATTTTAGGAACAATTTGAGGTTATATTTTCTTCCAGAATCGTAAATTTATTAATAGCAACTTTAAATTAGGTAATTCCCTTTTGTTTAATTAGGCTCCATCTTCCCATTTCTTTAGAATCGATCGTGTGCTTTTTGTACTATCATGATTGAATGAAAAGGGAAACAGTGGGAATTGGATAGCACAATGTTAAAGTTAGGCTTTCCACACTTCCAAAACCACTTTTTGTTCTTTTTGAGTAAAAGACCTAAAGAAAACTTGTAAACAAAGCTATAAATTGGATCACATGGCAAAGCAAACACTGTCCATTCATAACAGATAGATCCATGTGATTTCATTGGTTTGCTTAATCTTAAAGACTTAAAGTAAGAATTTTTGTTTAGGTCTCCCATTTTGATTGACTATTCATTTCCTCCCTAATTTATCATTTTATCATCTTTCCTTCTCTAAGTTTGCATCTTTCTACTATGATTATTTTGATTTTGCTCTAATTTAGGATCCATTTCACAACCATCTTATATTTTTACATCTATTCTTTAAGGAATAGACTCGTTTACCAAATTTTCTTGTTTTGTCTCTAAAATTTCGGACTAAGTTCCAAAAGTGTTTGCCAACTAAAATAGTAAGGACAACCTTGTTGTCTTGGAAACTAACCAAACTTATCTTGTTTGCTTGATCTTCATTTTTATGCTAAAAATTCTCTACTTTTTGAAACTTTGTAGATTTTACATTGATGAAGTTCCCATTAGAGAAGTGGTGAGAAATGAAGCAATGGGAGGAGATTACCCTTCAAAGCCAATGTCTTTGTACGCCACAATTTGGGATGCCAGCAGTTGGGCAACCTCAGGTGGCAAATACAAAGTCAACTATAAATATGCACCCTTTGTTTCTGAATTCAAGGACCTTGTTTTGGAGGGCTGCGCCGCCGATCCCATCCAGGAGGTTCTAGAAGCTGTCGACTGCTCCGAGCACAACGCCCGCCTCGACGCCAAAGACTTCGCCACCGTAACACCTGCGCGCCGTGCTGCAATGCGCAACTTCCGCCAGCATTTTATGTACTATTCATACTGTTACGATACGTTGCGGTATCCAGTCCCGCCACCGGAATGTGTCATTAGTCCGACCGAGCAGCGGCGTTTCAAGGACACCGGAAGGCTGAAGTTCGGTGGTAGCCATCGCCGCCGCTCGAGGCGGCGTGGCAGGAACAACCCAAGTGTTTCCTTGTCTGACCAGTCTAGTATGTAATGTGTTTCCACACATATTTCTATAGATGAAAATATATATTCTTTTACTTTGTTTCTGAACTTTGTGTATGTTATGTATGTCCAGTAATGCAATAAATATGATCTATTGGTTTAATTTTTAATATTGAGGTATTTTAATATATATATATATATGTTTTCTGTATCAAAGTTAACAACCACCAAAATTTGAGTTAATTTAAAGTAGGCGCAGTGCTAGAAATTTTTATGGGAAAAAGTTTTATATCTTAACTTTCTAGTTTCTCTATATACATATATACTTGTTATTTCTCAATTCTAAATACTTAAAAGGGATAAATTAGAGAAATTCAACTTAATTATTAATTTAAAGAGTAGGGGTAGTAAATGTAAGCATTATATCCGCGTTATCACTCGTCAGTTAAGAATGTTTGCTATAAAATCTACCGACCAAAAAGTCTTAAGAAAAAGAAAATTCATCAAAAGATTATTCTATAATCGTCTCTTGTTCTTGAATCGAAGGAATTGAGTCTGTACCCGACTCTAAAAGAATTCTTTTTTCAAGTGAGTTGTCTTTCAACTCGAGTAAGTTGTGTTTCTTCTTTTGTAGTATACCTATTTTGGTGTCATAGTTTCTACATTATATCCTTTTTTTGTGTCAATACATTTCTAGAAGAATGGAAAGAAGACCAAACAAAATAGTTAAGAAATTGGACTTATTATAATCTTTTTGGGAATAGAATATTCTTTCTTCCTATTTTCAGGATGCGGTGTAAGAGTTGTTTTTCATTTTCTATTGGAGAATTCAACTTCCAATCCATTAGTTTTAGAAAGATGAATTAGAGACAACGACATTTCTCATTTCTTTTACCATGGTTTAAAAATACATATTTTAATTTTAAAAAATTGAGCTATTTTGTCTAATTATATGTCTATGACAGTTATATAATCATGGACTCTATTTTGTCAATCGAAAGATAGCTGGGTAAGACACTCGCATCATCTTAAGTTGAAATCCCAACCCCATACTTTTTATACATAAAGAAAAAACAGGGACCCATTCAATTTAAAAGTCTTTTTAAGGTTAAAATTAAGTTAAAAGCTTCTATATTTCTATCCTTCTTGCTTCTTTGGGCCACCAACAAAGACAGGTGGATAAATTGGGTTAGGGGATGTCTCTGACGAGGACAGTTGTACCATGTTCCTAATTCCTATGATTGCTGTCCCCATCCACGTGGACAAGTTTGATGTTGACAATTGCTTCAAAGTGGGAGTATTTGCTTGTCACGTGAATTTGGATAATGTCATTTTATAATAAAATTCAGTTCACTTTTGTGATTTGAATTTTCGTTATTTTGCTTCTTACATTAAAATTCTTTATTTATTCTATGAATCGGTTAAACTAAGCAGCATTTTGAAAATATAAATATTCAGGAAGAAATTGGTTATTCCATCGTATTTCAAAAAATATATTTAAAAAATAAATCAATAATTAGTTAAACTTTTACCTTCTTAAATAGTAGTTAAACTATGTTCAATTACAAAATTGTCAATTACACATCTATTATTTTTACTAATTTTGGTAATAGTCATTCAATTTATTTTAAGTTCAATTATTATGTTGTGTTTGCTTTTCTTGGTCATATCATGGCTCGAAAATGGATAAAATGCATAGCCCACAAAAATTTTATACATAATTTTGTAAAATAAATCCTATCTTTGCTTAAAAAAAAGTAAAAATAAATCAATAATAATAATAATAATAAATCAAACAGCATTTTACTCAACTTCACGTGAAAATTTTAGCTTGAACAAAGTATTTAAACTAAGATGTGACAAGTTGATTTTACTTAAACACTAACATACGGGTYTCCAACCTGTCATATAAACTCAACAAATTGCATGACACTTTCGATAAAAATATCAAGGTCTCAATTTTATTGAAATATCAATAAAATGTCGATGTCGATAGATATTTCTGTAAAAGTGRGAGGAATTAAAAAATTATAAAAGATTATTTAAATTAACAAATAAACATTTTCCTATTTTTAAATAAGTTAAAAATAATTAATATTAATATTATGTATATATTAACGAGATTTTGTTGATATTTTTCATATTTTGTCAATTTTTTTTGTACTATGATGAAAATGTCAATTTACCCATGTCAATGTCGAACTATGGAAATATGGATATGTCGATGGATATTTAGACCATAATAAACTTGTATCAACTTTTTTCTTAACAACTTTTTTTTTTTGTGTAAAAAAAATTATATTTCCAGATGGTTTAATGAAATTGCTCATTTTCTAGCAAACTAGGCCAATCAATTTTTTAGAGACTCGTTGAGACTAATAACCYTCCTGTTTGGTTGCCCCGTCCAATTCAAGCTGATTACTACAATATAGCCATTGATTTTATTTCTGATTAATGAAGTGATTCTATTTTCCAAAAATAAATAACTTTTTCAAACACATTACAGTAAAACTGAAATTACTGGACATTTAAAATTGCCTAAATAAATCCAGTTCTTACTCYCTGATCATTACAAGATCATAATAATAACTCTATTACCAAATAGATCAGTGATTAGTTAAGCAAATGATCTGATAGGTTTAAATTAGAATTATTTAAATACTACATTACAAGTAGAATTTCAATGGAAATCTCCATCCCTAAAACAAATTCTTTCTGAAAACCAATTTCTATTTTCCAGATTTATGAATCAATCTCAAAGCAAACAAATTATCAGTTCATATATTCACTGTTAACACCCTTTTTCCCAACAGGCAAACACTCAACAATTTATTTTTAAAAAATCATTATTCTACAACGATCTATGTAGAATAGTATCAACAGAGAGAGAAGACTGGATTACAAACTAAACATATAATTCATGAAACGTATAAACATAAAAATGACAGTAAACATATACACTTTAAAAATAGTACGAATTACCACTATGATGAGTCTTACTAAGAGATATGAAACATCTGTACATTACCAGGAGAGGCCAAGTCACTGAGGCAGCTTTGTTCTGGRCATATACCACATTCTTGGGGTAGGGATTGGCTGGTACATCACAAATTTTCCTCAAGTCGTCGATGAGCAAAAGAATCGATTTCCTCTTACAGTTCACGAACGAAATTAATGGCCGGTCTCGTCCTGTGAGCTTCAAATTTATGTCAAATTATCTCCTGACCTGCACTTGGTAAAAGAAGATGGAATGATAAATTGTACAGAAATCCAAATAGAAGAAGACATTCCATAAATACTCTTTGGGGTACTTTGTACGTCCTCATTCAAAAATTTGGTTTTTATAATTATATATATAGTATTCGTTTTCACGTCAACATCATCATACCAAAAACATCTATTTCCAATATTTGGCTCCAAGACGTTAACAGTTTTTCTACTGTAACTCAAGATTTTCAGCAAATATCAGCAGATAATTCAATTGCATTTTTCCAAAAAAATAAATTGAAGTACCTGATTATCAAGTGAATTGATCTTGAAAATGATTATAGACGACTAAACCCAAGGTTGTGACAAAGAGACATCCGCGGTTGATGCTCCTAGTCCTTGTCTGCCGTAGATAGCCGCTTTAAGCAAACTGTATTGCATGGCCACGGAATCAAACAGTGCCTTCGAGTATGCTTCTCTGGCCTGCCAAACAAAGCAACTTGTACATTAGGAAAGAACCCATATAGACCCTAAAAATGTTCTTTAGTGCCTACATCTCACATCCTTGGTTGGCAAATGGATTGAAATATTTGATATAACATTGACCAGTTGATTTATATTTCAATTGAGTAGTTAGCTTTAACCTAAGGAAGGATACATAATAATATGAATACTTCTATAGTCAGGAAAGGCCAAGACAACGAGTATGGTATTTGAGAGAGAATTTTACTTGGCTCCTTTTGGTGGGATGCTTTCTTAATGAAATCTTTGTTTCCCATTTAAGGAGAAAAGAAAGGGGAAAAAACATCCACTTGATATCCTGAAGAAAGTCTGTGCAGAGTTGTCATGTTTCCCTTTTCAGTTTTGTACAAAAGAAATACGATCTTCAGTTATTCACATTGAAGAAAACATCACGTCATTTAACTCCCAGGTTACCAGATTATGACCAAAAAAAAAAAACCATTGTAGTTTAGGTATATTGCAACAGTTTTGTATGGAAAAATCTAACACTTTGAAGAAAGCTTGAAGCTTAGAAATAAAACTATTTGTTTCCAAGATCTCTTACTCTTATAGATTTAATAGTATAGTACGTATAGAACTTTTTATGAATCGTAATAGTATCAAGCACAATATTTTACTACCACTCACTCTCTTTAAGAATTTAAATAATATGAGACAGACCTCGTCAGGAGTTTCATGGGCAGCAGCAATTTCAGCGAAGCTGATTTCCGGAGCCACAGACAATCCCGCCCCACTAAAGGAAATTACTCTTTTTTCTCCAATTTCAACTTCTACCTGGAAAAATTAAAATGAGTTAATAGATGAAAAGAATAATTATATTAAAAATGAATAAAAGGGACAGATATGATACCTGTGAAGGAGGAGGCATGATGTCATAACACAATAAAGCAAGAGGAAACAAATGCCCAGGAACACCCGAATGTTGAATGAGCCTTCTCATGTTGTCCACTGAAGAAGCATCAAAGGGTGCCTGATCCTCTCATATCAGTACGAACTACTTTGATCTTATAAAAAATTTAATATAAAAATTTCAAAGACATAAATGAACTAAAATGGATTTGAACACACCAGTAAGAAATGATGAGTAAAGTGTTGAAAATGAAGAATGAAGGAGAGAATAGGCTTTTGCAGGTCTTCTTTTTATATATAAGAAATAAGTTAATTTAAGGAATGAAATGCACAAAAGGGGGAAATTCCCAAGATCCAAAGGAGATAAAGAAAGCTCTCCAATTCAAGATAATGCATGAAGTGGAACAATTACGAAATTTCGACCAACTTGGAACTACAAGAGGAGGCCACAAGACTATGATACCCCACACCTCATTCACTCAGTTCCCACTATTTTGGAACTCTTCCAACCAAGACCGTCAAATATTTTCTGAATGCATTCAACCACAAAACAATACTTTTTTGTTAAAAATAAAACCACCTAATAGATGTTGGAAAACGTCTTTAACATTAGAGGAAAGCCCAAGTGGACATTGGAGACGTCCAGTAGCTTTTACCAAAGTGACTTGCTGGTCTCCAAAGTGAAGCAAGTGTGAACAGAAAATTGAAAACTCCTGTCCTTGGTCACCTAAGAGAATTTCCTGGCTTGATACTCCAGTTCCAAAATTTTAAGGATTTGTTGAAATTTTTATAATAGAGCAGATCATCATGACTGATCATATTTCCAACAGTACACTTCACCAGAACATCTTCACCCATTAGCACACCACCAGATTCAGCTATATTCCCACTTTTTATTGTTGTTCTTATGGTATGTGCATGAGAATCTAGAAAATTATTACACTAACTACTGACATAAAAATCAAAACGCTGGAATGAAAATATTTTCTAAACTCAATAAATGATCAAAAGTTGAAAACTGCAATAAGATACTCGATATGCGTGCAAATTTGTCTTTATACAAGGTAAAGAGAACTTACAGGGTACCATTCTCCAGTCAATGGATCTGGTCGGTCCCTACCACCACTGGGTGCAATCCATATTAGTTGCGACCCACCCCTATGCAAAATTTTATCAGTTATGGAAACGTATAAATGGAAAATAAGAGAGAACATTTTGAGGCTTAAAAGACGGTAAGATATTTGGAATCCATGAATCTATGACAGGTAAAACAAAGCGTAAAAAACCAGCTTTTTTTCCTTAGCTGCTAACAGTAGTTACCTTAAAAGTAATGCCATCTCCTTCAGACTCCGTGTGTTCGCTTTTCTTTTCATTTCTGCAAGCTCGGGAACATCAAACATGTGCTTTTTTGAATAAACACAAATAAGATTCCTGCATAATGGATGTATAAATTGAGTTTTTTCTAATTTTGTAAAATAATAAAGACATATATAATCAAATAAATTGTAAGGAAAATTTTATGGGAACCTTCCAATGCTGAAGGGCTTGCAAAGAGGGTCTGAAATAACTCTATCCCCTGCCACATAGATCTGCAACACAGAAAAGACACTTGTTTATGCCAGTATTTCTTAAGCGCCCTCAAAATCAGAGCCGAACACTGCATATGTATACTGAAAATAATAGGCCTACCATGTTTTCAGCAATATATGGATTTGTCTTTTCAAGCAACAATGAAATAATAGCTGGATCTGCTTCAGTCTGATGATTTGATATCAAGACAACATTGTGACCCTGCAACATGGAAGAAATAAAGTTTCTAAAGACACAAAACAGGGGGAAAAAGAGATAAAGAAATCCATAAAATAACAGATGTTAAATCTCCAAATGTTGCTTTTTTCTCTTTAAAAGATTGTAAGACCAATAATCATGAAGAATTGCTTGGAAAAGTACTATGAAGAAACATGTCAAGACATATGAAAGATACAAAGGCTATTGCCAATCATGGGACACAAACAAATTTACGAGCACAGAAAAGCAAAGAAAAAAGAAAGAAAAGAAAAGAAAAGATAGAGAACTGATATTTTTCCTTTGTAAAGCAGTTAGATTTTTGTTCTTGGATATGGCAATTAAAGAATCAAATATTTACATGGTAGTTAAACCAGTGAGGGATCGTCCTCACTTTATGAGATAAACAAATCTCAGCAACGATCAATTAGCCCATGATCATCACTTAATAAAGAAACTTGATGATTGCTTATAGATACCTGCTGGAGCTTCTCGTCTATATCATTGAAAAGAGAAAGGTTACCCACGAATGAATTTCTGCAGAAAATTGTCGATCAAGCTTAAGGACAGAGGTCAAACATACAGGAAAAAACTGACACTCTTAAATTAACAAGTAGTTTAAATTGGTCTTAAAAAGATTGCTTTCAGAATCAAAACTTGCATTGCTCTTTCAATTGATCATAAATATTGATCGGAACATATTTGATTTGATCACATGAACAGCCCAGATTAAGAAAAGAAATAAGTGAAAAGTAAAATATATCATAAGATAAAAATTGTGAACAGAATAATTGATGAAAACTAACAACCTGTGATGCCATCTATAGAAAGTTTTTTTCCCTGAACAAATGAAGCAAGAGAAAGACCACAAATACCATCAACCCATGCAAAATGGCTCGCTCAATCATGATTCAAGCTTTATTCGAAAAGCATAGACCATGTTATGTTTAGCAAATGTCACAAGTCCATCACAATTTTGAAAAGCATGAGCTCCAACAAGTTTATTTCTAGAAAAGCATTTCCTAACGAAGACAAATAAAGGCATGTAATTTCTCGAAAAGAGTATAATCAGAACCAGTGGCTGACAACAGATCAGAAAAGGATTGTCAGACCAAATTTCCAACTTACCCAAAATCAATCAATGGACGGACATAGTTCTGACCAAACATATAGTAATCAAAAGGCTCTCGAACAGCTTTGTGATGTGGTGAGAAGACATAAGGGTCCTGAAATATTACTGCTATGTCTCAGACAAGAGGTCATTCAGTAGCTGTCCTGTCTATGTTAAATGCTTTGACATAATTTTAGTTGATATAAAATTAAATATTACCTCCACATCCAAAAATATGCGATCTAATGCAACAGCCATGTTAGACAAAACAATTTCATCTGCCTTTGGATTTCCACTCTCAATAACCTGAAAATAAGGGATAGGCATTTAATACTTAAGAGTGCACCATGATGGAAAACAAAAGACAGTAAAATTAGGAGGAAAGACAACATTGTATGGAAAAAACTCTGGTATTGGGATAGCTAAAACCCATGGTCAATGAATCCAAGGACAGAGACAAATATAGCAATTCTTGTTTCACAATTAAGTGCACGATATTATGGTATCTTTATGACAAACAAGGACATTTCAGTTCTGTCCCTTCACTTTATGATGCAACAACTAAATTTCATTTTTCAAGGTCTAGAACACTAAACAATTACCTCTTTGCATCTTTTTTATGAGAACAATCTACAGATTGTAGATAAAATATTTTTTTAGTAAATAAATAAAATTGAATTTTTTAACTCACTATGATAAAGAAGGCTATATCCCAATACCAGAAAGTTAAAGGTGTAGAAGATGATGGCGAAGAGTACAGTAGGTCAAAGATTTTTAGAGTTAAGTTACATTACAAAGAACCTACTCACAACCTTTAATAAAAAAAGCTTCAATAATATGACTAGCTTTCATACAACCTGCCTCCTTACAGTATCTGCATTCATTTTGGCTCAGTGTGTTTCCTATAATCATTTCCGATGGTCCTTGTAAGAATTAGATTCCCCCAACAGCTAGACTTATGAAATAATGACATTAAATATCCTATCCTATCCTATCTTATACAAATTTAAGCTAGGAATCTTCGATATTAAATTTTTAATTAATGTAGTTAGGAATGCCCTTATTAAAATTAGTCAAGATGTTAAAAAGGATCCTCTGAATAAATAAAAATATGAAAAAGACCTCTTTATTTCAAAGCTATGGCCTCTCTATTTCATTAGTCTAGGCTCCAAATTACTATGAAGGAAAAAGTCAAAAGCAACCATAAAAACTTAATGAGGCAATGGAAATACAAGTGAATATGATAGAATGGAGGCACTGAAAAATATAAGAAAATTTCCCACATGTCAGATAATAACATCTATCAAATAAAATAATATATCTGATGGATGTATAAAAAATAAGACCAACAAAAATTTACAGTTAGAATATTTACGGCATTTCTATAATTTTGATACAATTCTTCCATTCCTGCTGCAACATTTGAAGGCAGCTTTCCAGCTTCTGCTTCCCTCCTGATGCAGGAGAGCAGCTCTGCAGATAAGATAAATCAACATTCTGCATATTTTCTTTACAAGATTGCTTTCTTCTGAAAAAATGATTTTACTAGGAAATACTAAATGACCAAATTCAAATATGATCTTTTGTACTTCAGTTAGAACCCATCACTGTCAGACTGCTAGGAAACTCTGGGAAATTGGAAGAGGCCAGATCATGTTTGGGTGGTGGTTGTACAACAAGAGGAACAAGAAACAACTAAAAGAAAGATAGCTGGAGAATGGAGATGTCTGATATGAAAAACAACAAAAAAATCATTGCAACAAAGACCTAGTCAAATGATAGGATTAAGTTTCCTCATAACTTGCGCCTTGAAAAAGAATAACAAACATATGTAATAATAGATGTATATAAACTTAAAGCAAACATAATGGCACTCGTTCACATCCCCAATTTTAAAGTAGTTCTCCCTTCTATCTATAACCCTCTCTGATCAGGAAGGGATTCATCGCCACTCAAACAAAAAATTTCCCCACTACGAGGTTTAATAACATGGAGGGAGGGAGAACGGTATCGTAGCCTCAGACTAATCAAACTTAAACAAATTACACCATCAAGCCTCAAATATCCCAAGAAAAGAAACAATATAATATAGATGCTCGATACTGATAACATCCAGAGGAGGAACGAGAAGAGAATAAAAGGCCTAATAAAAGATACTCGATTTTTCAGGTACAAAAAATAGAAAAGATATTTTCAATTCAGTTATATCCAGCTCAGACTTCGCAAAACATGATGCGAAATTAGCAAAATTTGCAGAAGAGTGAACTGACGCACATTAGAATTCAGTGAATGGATTAAGTGGAAGCCCGCTCATAATCACCGGAAACGGTTCTACAAATATTTCCCTTTTATAATAACCCGATTATAATTACAATCAACAAACAATAAATTTCGACCATAAGAGAAAAGTAAAAGAAGGGGAAAAAAACTAAAACACGCAGAGTTGTAGCTCATTAAAGCATTAAACAGAAAGCAGGGAACGCCAAAGAGGAAAAAAGGGGGAAAACAAAACAACCGTAACCAAGTCTGAGCGCAGCAACCAACCAAATCGCGTAATCCCACGAATTCCAGCTTGAACAAGAAAACAAAGAAAAAAAGCGGAGAAGAAATAGAGAGGAAAGCACAAGAGCATACCTTCTCCGGAATGAACATGGAGAAATACGCGGGAGTGAGGTGAGTCCTTCCTTGTTTGAGCGGCGGAGGTAGCAGCAGCAAGAGCGGCGGCGGCGGTGTGGGCGGAGTCCTCATCATGGAGGAGCTCCGCCATTGGTCTGGAGGTGGAGAAGCGGAGCGAACAGGGGCAGGAAAACTTAGGAAGGAGGTTGAGAGAAGCGGAGGAAGGAGGGAGAGAAACCCTAGGAAAGGAGAAGGAAAATGCAGAGGTTGAAGATGGAGATGGAGGAGTGGAAGAGAGGATAAACATAGCAAAGAAAATGGAAATGGAAATGGAGATATTAAGTGGAGGAGAAGAAGTCGTACGTACAGATCCAGAGGCTTGGCTTTAACTTTTAAGCAGTGAACAACGAAACAACGGGAGTGTTGTATTCTATTGGTGTGGAGTGTGAAGAGGATTGGGCGGATAAATTGGGAACTAAAACACCTCCTCCCTCGCACGTGCTTCCCAAACGGGACAATGCCGCGGGGCCCACTTCTCAAACTTTTCGATTTCCGAGAGGATGGAGTGGAAAACAAGTAATTTCTTTTTCTTCAGAAATTTCCCAGTGTTCCATTTTGACGGCAAAGTATGCGTTTTTTTAAAATAATTAAAAACGAGAGGTGTTTTTTATTTGTTTTCCATCGTTTTATTTATTACCGGGTCTCCATTCTTACTTTGATTTTTGTTCAGACAATAGGTGGAAATTAAAGACGCACTTTGTACTCATTTTAGTTTTTATTTTTAAAATTCTGCTGGAAAACGCTACTTTTTTTCTTTTTATTTTATTATCTGCCTTTCAGAAATATTTTTTAAAACTAAGCTGAATTTTAAAATTTTAAAGATTTTTTTATTTATGAAATTTGAATAGTTAAGAAATCTCAAAATATAACAAAACAAATTGTGAACAAACCAACCCTTCTTTAAAAAAACAAAACAAATAATGCTTTATCCCTTTTATGCATTTTCTTAAAATAAACTTAAAATTTTAGCCAAATTTAAAAAACAAATTTTAAATTTTAAAACTGCTTTTTTTAGTTTTAAATTTTTGGCTTAGAGTTCAAGACTCCTCAAAAGATTGACAACAAAATAAATAAATATCTAAATGAAATAGTCTTTAAGAGTTTAATTTCACGAATTAATTAATAAACTCAAACTTTTAAAATTTGAAGGAAGGCTACTTATATCTAAACCTTGTTGAGTTATTGTAAGAATATTCTTGTATACTAAATACTTAAAGAATGTATACTAAAAATAACTATTAATAAACCAAATGTTATATCTCAAAAAAATGAATACTAATAACAATAATATTAAAGGGGGATAAAAAATAACATTGTAAATAATTTTTGAAAGTTTAAGTTTAGTTTTTTTTTTTAATAAAATTTGATCAGAACAAAAAAAAAAGAAGGAAGGAGTTTAGTTCAAACCTCGCTCGTTTTCCTTCTTCGCTACTATTGTTTACTTGAGTTTGTTTATAAAAGTATAGAAATTGAAATGAACATAAAGATTAAAAACTATATATATGAACCAAAATTGATATTTTAAAAGTGTTGGGATTAAAATGAGTCAAAGTAAAATTTAATACAAAATTGGGTATTAAAACGATGTCGGACACGTGTCTGACATCGCTTCTATGTTATCGTAACATTTTTATGTCGGGGGTAGACCTGCCCGTTGTTATAGGTGCCCCTAAATACAAATATTATATATTTATTTAATGAAAATACATAAACAAAAGTTATAAAAAAATTAAATTAAATTTATTCTAAAACCTTTTTTTTTTCTGCAAAGATGCCCCAAATAAATAAGTGGGATGAGAATAAGGACTGTGTGGAGAAGTTAGTCTAAATTAGAATTTCAAGAACCTACGGTACTTAAGAGAGAGATAGAAAATGATAATTATTGGAAAGACCTAGACAAAGTGTTAAGACATGGTCATCTTGTAATTTATTTCTCATATCATATTGTCATTCCATTTTGAATGGGTAGGGATTATCATTTTTCTTAAAATGACCAGACCTACAATAGGATGAGAATTCCAACTTCCTAAATTATATATATATTTTTTGTTTTATACAAAAAAAATAGGGATTTTAGGATAATAATAAAGAGTGCACCACTAATAATTTAAAATATATTTATTAATTTTTATAATTTTACATTAACAGGAAAAAAAAATAGGTTAACTCATACAAAATATCACTAACCTATTATGGATGAGAAAATCTCAATTTAATTTTCTACAATTCAAATTCCCTTTATTTAAAGAATTCAAAATGGAAGATATATTAATTTTGTTACGATTCAAGGAAGATATCATATATTCAAAACGAGAAGATATCCCGATTAATTCTAGAGAGATCACGATTCAACTCCTATAGTAAGCCAAATCCTAAAGATATGCTCACAACACTCTACACTTTATACTCAACTACTCTGATTATGACTTAAGCATTGGAGCCTATGTATAGTAGCCACACTGGTCTTTAATACTATTATATTTTGGAGGTAATCCCAGAAAGTCAAATTTCTACCTGTTTAAAATTTTTCCCAAAACTTTTTAAAAGGTTTGGTTATACTTTTTAATTTGTTTCTAAATAAATCATTCAACAAGAAACTCGCCGATGTTTGCTAGATATTTTAAAGAGTTATTTTTTCAAAAAAATTAAGATTTGAGGATAAAGATAAGATTTTCAAAACATAAAATAACAATATTAAAAAACAAAAGGCCGAGAATTTCCTCCACTCTGGGATATTCTTAGTGACGTATTTTCTGTCGTTGTAGAATGTTTTTCTCTCACCGATTGAAAGTCAAGACTCCACCCCAAAAATTTATAATAATAAATAAAAAAAACTCCCTCCAGCCAAACGTGTTACCACTACTGCACCATTTATGGGATGCATTCAAAACCTTTTAACATGTGAATTTGGAGAATAAAATTTCCCCTTATTTATCATGTTCATGATTGCTTTTGCTCTCCTTTTCTGTGATTTATGACATATCTATTTAATAAATTTCTCCTGGAGGGAGAGCATGAAGTTAATTATGATTTAATATTTGGAATGAAAGAAATAACTGAATTTTTTGAGACAAGTCTGGGCTATTGGATAAATGTTTTTGCAGCTGTGTACAGTTTAACACCCTAAAATTGGAGTGCTCTACCCACAGAATTCTTCAATAGTAGATTGGGAGTGTTTGGTTTGATATTTCTTTTAGGCAAGGGGACATCATATTTTCTTAGCCTTTAGGCTGTTTGTTTTCCTGATGGAAGCCTCCGTTTGTTTCTTATATTAAGAAAAACATTGCACCGTCGTCACTCTACCGAATGTTACATGGAGGATGATAGATATTTCATTTACATCAGATCACCATTTAGAATCATTTTCTAAAATTTTAAATTAAACTGTTAGTGTTTTAAATGACAGAAACATAGGTATAATACACAACACGTCAAACTATTTTACTGATTCAAAAAATTTCATACTTACATGTTTAACACGAAACTCGAAAGTTAAAGTTACTTTGAGTTCCTTGTTGTCTTCGTTCACTTGAATATCGATACAAACTATAGCCCATGGCTCGGAACCATGAATTGTCTTCATATAACTAATAGGTTTTTCTTCGAGAAAATAAAACAAATATAGTACTAACCAACAAGGACAATAATCCGACCTTAACAAGAAAGCATTTCGTTTTTTGCCCATACGTGATTGTTCGAGTTAGCTTGCACGTACTTCTTAGTCATTTTAGTACAACAAATAGATGATGGATTCGAACTCATGACCTCTTAGTCATGGACATGTACCAATTAAACTAAACTTACGATAGCCAAAACGTCTATGTTCATTTTGTGAAATTATTGGTACAACTATTATACAATTGATAAATATTTATGGGTTCTTTTGGTAATTTGTCGTTTATTATTTTTCATGATTCTCTTTTTATTCAAACCATTAAAATTGTTTGTAACTGTTTATTATTTTTTGTTTTTTTATTGTCAATTTATTTTTTTGGTAATTTGTGAAATTAATGGTATAAATATTATACCATTGAGGAATATTTATGGGTTCTTTTGGTAATTTGCCGTTTATTATCTTTCGTGATTCTCTTTTTATTCAAACAACTAAAATTATGTTTGTAACTGTTTATTATTTTTTGTTTTTTTATTGTCAATTTATTTTTTTCCCTTAAATTTGAGATTGAAAAAAAAAATAAAAATTTTATATAAAATTTTAAAGATTCAAATTAGATATTTAAATATTCCATGTCATATTTAATTTTTTGTTTTTATTATGCATTTTAAAGGTAAAAAGTGATAAAATAATTTATAAAAAAAAAGTGAGAGAAACAGATAAATCCATAGACATAACAGAAAACTCACATATTTATGAGGATATGAGATATCCTCTCTCATTTACCACATGGTATAGTGGATAATGGATCATTCTTCTTTTTAATAGTTACAAATATTGAAACAAGCATACTGATAATAAATTTAGGAAAAAAATAAACTTATCTCTGATCAAGTCTTGACAACCTTGAATGTTGGACAACTATTGAAACAAGCATAGCGATAATAAATTTAAGGAAAAAAAAGAAACTTATCTTTTCGTCAAGTCCTGACACCAGGGTTCAAAATGTCGAGAAACATGTCGATATCGACATAGGGGGAAAAGTCGATTTTTCCCCATGTCGTCGACATGTCTTTTTTTTTTCCTCTTCTTTTTTTTAAGGTTATTTTATTTTCATCATCTTCCTACTATGTCGCTACAGTCTATAATTTTCTCACATCGATGATTGTAATCTTAATTTGTTCAATGAAATATTCAAATTTTAATATCTATAAAGTATAACTAATAAGATTTGAAATTTGCTCTATTGATAATTTCTAATCCAATCTAGTCCTAAATTTGCTCTATTGATAATTTCTAATCCAATCTAGTCCTTACTTACACGATTGAACAATAAATGTAATATATTGACATATATAAATATTGAAATAATCTTAGAATTTTTAAAAGATAAAATATTATTATATATGAATAGTGGTGAAACATGAATAGAATAAGTAACTTAATTAATACCTAAAAGATAATATTGGAGGATCTAATGCACTATCTTGATAACTTTGATATAAATTACAATAGTCTTCCCCGATCATCATAGATTGAAAGTTTTGAAGGTAGTTGTTCAAATGAGTAGAATATGAAGCACATATGGATCTCATTGGTAGATAATTTGGATGAATGACATAATCATGAGGTTGAGGTATATTGAAAATTGTGTAAATTTGATTGGAACATTGGATTGATGATTGATTTGAAAATGTGTTTGAAAAATGTGTAAATACAAATTTGAAAAGAGAAGTAAGTAAAAAATAAATAGGTACGAGTTAATTAGAATTTAGAAATGTGTTTGGAAACCAAGTCGGTAATTATCTCATTTCCAAATGAATTCTAGTATCAAAAACACTAAAGAAGTAGTCAAAAGTTTACGATTAAAGTTTAGTTTACATATTCAAATAATTTCCATCAATCTTCATTAAAGGAAAAAATATTTTTTCGATAAAATATTTTTTCGATAATTCTATCGATATTAACATTTTCATAAGTAAAATGGTCATATTCTTACATTTAATGGTTAATTATAGGCTAATTAAGCTATCATTCAAGTTTTATTTGCTAATTCAAAAAATTTCCATCAATTTCCACAATTTTCATTATTTTTCTCGAAATATCCATAGACATCGACATTTTGAACACTGCCTGACACCCTTAGAATATTGGAAAAGTAAGAGAGATAAATATAAAAGAATATAATTAAAAAATAATAATAAATACATTTTCAAATTTCCAATAATAACCAGGATAAAGATAGGTCATCGTCATTCAAGAGATAGGTGTTTTCTATAAAATGAGATAGGTATTTTCTATAAACTTATACTCCATTCATGTTCCCATGAATCAAACATTTTTCAATAGTTTTTTTTTTATTGTTCTTTAAAAAGCAATGTAATAAAAGTTGTGTAAATTTCAAATTTTTAGTACATATTTCTCAACTTTTTAAAATGCTTTAAAAGTTGTGTTTGTAGTTTGCGTAAGAGGATTATTGGAGGACAAATTGTAATTTAAAGTGCACACACGACACAATAAAAATAAAAAGTTATTCAACTTTTTGTAGAAAAAATGTAGCACTAATAACTTAGCAAACATTAACTTAGATGGACAGCCTGTCAACTATTGATTGGAGATATATGCCAATTACTGTCGAGCTATTTCGTTTTGACGTCAAGTAGAATTATTTAACAAATGATAATGAAAAAAGTTAAATTTAATCGTCACTTTAATAATTGTGTATGTAGACTTTTAATTGTTTTTTTTTAAATACAACATGTGAAGTGGGAGATTGAATTCACAGCCTCATAATTGGAGTTATATGTTAATTACCTCTAAACTATGCTCGCTTTGACAATAAACTTTTAATCGTTGTTGCATTTATTGTTAAAAAAAATGATATATCCATTAAATAAATTTAAAATATTAACATGAGTATAACTTAATTAACTGATTAAGACACGTCTCTTGAATCAATCAAAATATTGTAAATTCGAATATTCGCTTAAATTTAAATTCAGCCACCATTTCATGACAAAAAAAAAAAAAATCAAAACACACCACACATCAAAGTTGCTGAATGATAATGATTAAATAAAGTCACAATTCAAAGTTGAACAACAAAATAACAAAAAGTTTGAAGTTTAAGAACTACAACGCAGTAAACAAAACTATAATGTTAAAACTTAAAACTACAAAAATTAAATGACATTTAAGAATTATTTTAATATTTTTATTCAGCGAGTTCCAGCTGATTTTTTATTTAATTTTATTTTTTGCGCTATATTACAAATACTAAGTGGACTTCCTTTTTTTTATCAAAAAAGAAAAAAAGACTCCCTTTTTCCATACATGAAACGTCTAAGAATAAAAAATGAAAATCTCAAACGGTAAACATGCCAAAAGAAAAAAAAAACCAAGAATCAAAATAATATTAAATAATTAAAATATACCATTAAGGCTAAAAACAAAATACTACATATTTCAAATATTTTCATTTGCTGAAAAAAAAAATACTATTATTATTATTTTGTTTTTTTAATTTCTTTTAACGTCGTCGTGCTCGTGTCACTCGGTGGAAAACTCGTGACGAGTGTTTTAGGGGCTTCTGCCACCAGCAAGTGCTGAAAAAATCCACAGCCATAACCAACTCAAATTCTGCAATTCAGCTTCCTCCATTGTTGTCCACACTCCAATTTCTTAGTGGTTCCGCGATACTCGCATCGCCAATTCCACGCAATATGGCGTCGATTTTCGTCACACCTGCGGTTTCGTCAGCTTCTGCTCTCCCAAGAGTTTCGTTCCGAGCTCGCTCCGACCTGCATTTACAGAGCCGGTTTGCTTTCTCATCTATTGTTTCTACTAATTTTATCGTTTCAGTAGTTTTACATTCAATTTTGTTGCTCGCAATTTCGCGCGTTTTTCTCTTTCATGGCTTCGCGGTGCTCTCAAGTCTTTTAATGGCGTAACACGGCTCGAGTGGAGACCAAATCTGTTTGTAACTAGGGTTTGCTTTGTCATCTCGTTTCCTATTTAAGTTCGTGCAGGTTTGGAGTAAGATGCCGCGTCGCGGACGCTCCAACTGCTATAGATGTAGTGGCTGATGTTAGAAGTGAGAAGGTATACTCCGTGTTAGACCAATACATTTGAGTTTTCTTTTTGGTAATAAGTTCTGTCTGATGACTCTGATCCTCTCAGCAAATTGATCATTTCTCACTTATATGCTTGTGTGCTTTTTATCTTAGTAGGTTGTGGTCTTAGGAGGCAGCGGATTCGTTGGTTCTGCTATATGCAAAGCGGCGGTATCCAAGGGCATTGAAGTTGTTAGCGTGAGCAGGTCTTGTAAATAACTTAGAATTCCTCTATCTTTCTTCATGATCGGTTTGACCACATGCAGTTTCATTCGAACTTCATATAATGTGCAGGTCGGGTCGTCCAACAGATACAAGTTCATGGATAGATCAAGTTACTTGGGTTCCAGGCAAGTGCCTTTGGTGTGCCAGCACCATGGAATGTTTTATCAACTGTTGCGTCAGAAATTTTAGGCAGTAGGTAAAATATAGAATATTGAATTATCTTGAATAAAAAGATGAAATAGGTGCTGCTTCAATGGCCTACATCTTACAATCCTTTTTTTTCCAATCATCTTGATTTGGCCCTGTGAAGTGAGAAAACCCTGTATTTACTTGTGAAGATTTGTATGCGTGGGGATCACGGAAAAAGGATAAATAATTGGCTCGAGGAAAAAAATGTCAACTGAGGAGATCTGTATTAGGGAGATGTGGGGAGGAATGTTTGCTAAAAATGTCATTTTAGGGGCGATGTGATTTCGATCTCAAACTTTTGCACCTTTTGATATCTAAAGAAATAAGGGAATTCCCGATGTATAAGCATAAAGATCAAAGGAGTTACAATAGAGATTCCCAGGGCTGTTCTCAGATGGAAAGAATAAATAATGTAAAGTCTCATTTTGGTATCCTCTCACACCTATGTTCTAATCTCCAATGACAATATTAATTGGAAACGTGAGACAAAACTCAATCTCTTGTTGTAATAGATTGGTAAAGGTAAAAGGAACTGCTTTGTTTGAAATTGACCATATTTCATTTTGCCTGAACTTGATAATTGGAATTAAAATGTTCACTGTTTAGAAATTATTGGCACCTTTCTCATTGTGGGTGCAAATAGTTCTTTAGGAATGGTCATTGCTGAATCATATGTACACAAATAATTAGCTCTTCGCATTCATATATTGTCTAAATCTTTATAGACTTTTTTTGCATTTGAATATTTTGAGCAACACAATATTACCTTATTTAGATTCCATAGGCCACAATGAGATTGAAAATGGCTGACAAAGTGCTAGGCTGTTGGTAAGTTGCATGAGCAGGTGGGGTCCTTAATAAGGGTTTGATGTATTTTTGCCCAGAGAACTCTCAGGACATGTTTTGCCTCCTCCTCTACCTGAGTGTGTGTGTGTGTTTTTTTTAAAATTATTTATGGTCTCTGGTGTGTCCATAGCTAGTATTCTGAATGAATCTAGGTAGTCTTATACTTTGTGGCATTCAATCTATAGCTATAGAAAAAGTTTAGGAAGCTTGTACTTGATTGTTATGACTTATGAATGAGCTATAGTCGCATCCTATTAGAAAATAAATACTCCTTCTCTTCTCTGTTCACGAGGGTATGAAAGATTCACTTTACAATATTCAGGAGATGTTTTCTACGTCAACTGGGATGACATACTTGTTGGGGCTACGGCAGTGGTATCAACGCTCGGAGGTTTTGGCAGTGAGGAACAGATGAAAAGAATTAATGGCGAGGCCAATGTTGTGGCTGTGAATGCGGCTTATGATTTTGGTAAGCAATTTTTAGATTGCACATTGTAATGAGACAAAAATATCAACTGTCATTAATCCTGCTCCAATGTCCACAAGTCTGTAACCCAATCACCCTGAGGTTTTCTATATAAAATTCCTGTTGCTCTGATTGACTTATTGTTATTTTTATCATCGGGTTTGGGTACATTACTTATTGCACCATTCTGAAGATTTTTTCTCGTGGCAGGAATTCCCAAGTTCGTCTTAATATCAGTCCATGATTACAATTTTCCTTCATTTCTACTCTCATCTGGATACTTCACTGGAAAAAGGCAAGCAGAGTCCGAGGTCCTCTCCAAATTTCCAAGATCTGGTAATTTTCTACACATCTTTCAATTTTTTAAAAGACTGAAACTTAGGTCCTTATTTGCCTACAAATAATATGGAACTTGGAGGTCTTTGTTTTTATTCAAAGTATTTTAAGTGAAAATTATTTCACTTAAAATACTTTGACTTGAAGACAATCATCCCTTAGTCCTCAAAGTGTTACTGTTGAAAACCGAGAAGGCCGATACGTCTAGGAAGTATTTCCTGTCAACTTATCCAACTATCCAAAAACTGTCTTTAAGGTATTATAAAAAACTAAATTTACCTGTCAACTTATCCAACTATCCAAAAACTGTCTTTAAGGTATTATAAAAAACTAAATTTACCGTAATCTAACAAACTTTTGGGTTGATTGGTTATTTAACATGGTACCATAGCATGAGATTATGTGTTCATGTGTTCGAACTCTGATTTCCTCTCCATTTAATGTTGACTGCGACTTGTTGGCCTTGTGCAAATTTTCAAGTTACAAGTGAGCGGAGGGTTAAGGTATCAATAAAAGACTTAAATTATCGTAATCCATCTAGATTGAGTTATTGGGTTAATTGGTGATTTATCCTAGTTAATCAGCCTTTGGTCAACCTTTGGCTTTTGTTCTTGTAAGATGTTCCTCATCTGAACGGTTAACATAAAAGGAGGTTACATTTTCCAAAAAAGCAGTCAATTCTCTCCGTGCAACATTTTCCATTGACTTGCAGGTGTTGTACTCCGTCCCGCTTTCATATATGGGAAAAGGAGGGTGAATGATTTTGAGATTCCCCTGAATCTGGTTGGAGAACCAGTGGAAAAATTTCTATCAACCTTTGGAAACTTCATTAAACCTCTAAGTTCCCTTCCAGCCTCTGACGTTTTTCTTGCCCCTCCGGTCAGCGTCGACGACGTGGCGCTTGCTACTGTCAACGCAATCACCGATGACGATTTTTTTGGTGTTTTCACAATTGAACAGATCAAGGAAGCTGCAGCAAAAGTTAGAGCGTGAAATGGCGTCTTTTCTCAATTGCTGCTGAAGAAACACACCCAATGGTTCGTAAGATATCATAATATTGGAAGTTGGGTTCTTTAATCATAGTTGTTTTAGGACCAACCCGTTTTATAGTATACTTTATTATTATTATTATTATTATTATTATTTTTGAGAAATCGTTTTATAGTATACCTAAAACATTCATCTATAATGCTATAGTTTCATACATTCCAGTATATCCTGCCAGAATAATATTTGATGCTATAGTATTTTATATAACCTCTTACGGGCTCGTGAGGTAGAAACAGCGATTCACTGTTTTATTTAGGTAAATGGTTTGGTGTGGAATGTGGATTGCATTAGTTATCTCTTTCTTTTTAATATTTACTTTTACCTTTTAACTTTTAGGGAATGGATGGGTGCTTTAAACATTGAACTATTATTTTTAGAAGTAGACAAAATATGTAATATACAAGGTCAAATTATAAATGGTAAATTTAAACGATGAGATATCTAACTTTTTTTTTTTTTTTTTTTTTAAGGTTGAGGATTTAATTTTTCCTAATGTATTAAAAAAAGTTCAATTAAATTTTGATTCAACAAGCATATGTCATTTCATTTGGCAACCATAACCATAAACTATGTTCTTGTCAGGTTTTAAAATTATAGTTATTTTTGGTTTTAAAATTCTAGTTTATGGTCATCTTGACTTTAAAATTTATAGATTCATAGGTGAAATTAAATTTGCAATTTAACAAACTAAGAGAATATGAGATGAATTTGATTTTACGACTATATATTCAAAATAACGTCATTTAATCTGTGTACTTTTAGTTTTAGAGTTTTACTTTATTACGGTCTACGTACTTTCAAAACATTTATTTTAGTTCTTGAATTTTTTAACTTTGATTAATTACTAACTTTCGAAATGTCTATTTTCTCTTAGAAGAAGTCTATTTTCATCCATTAATTTTTGTATTCATCTTACTTTTTTTTCTTTCTAAATTGTAGTACAACGCAATTGTCAATAAATACAAAGTCATCCATTTTTATATTAAAGAGTTTTTCACTGTGTATACTAAAACATATATTATAAAAGTATATGAATTAAAATTATTAAAATTAACAAAAGTTGAAACTATAGGAAGTGAAATAAAGTATATGAATTAAAATTAGGGAGTGAACTAAAATATATATATTGAAAGTAAAAGGATATATGTTTTCACTCTAACTGTTTTTGTTAGTATGTATATATATATATATATATTTATTTTATTTTTATTGGTTTGAAAAAATATTTATTTATTTTTATTGGTAGTTATAAAACCAAATGTAGAAATTTGAATTCGTGACGGAAGGGAATTAATAATTTTGCATTTTTTTGCATGTGTTTCAAGGCTCCATGTAGATCAGAAAAAACAAAGAACCGACTTGACAAATAAAAAACAATCGTACTGGGGGCCGTCTGCAAATTGTAAGATGGAAACGACACCGTTTCTCAACATCGTTATCCTCGCGAACTTCGGGTCCAAGTAAACTTGGCTTTCAAGTCGCAATCGTAAGGGGACTGAACCGAGTCTACTTCCCCCACTCGAGTCAAAATCGGTTGGTCTCCACTCCAACGGCGTCGTTCCATCTCCTCCTGCGCCTTCGCTACGCCTTTCTTGCTGCCCGCGAAACGCCCCGGAAGACCTAGATTCCCTTTATCCTCAATTTCATCCATGCGTTTCATTGCCATATTTCCTGTAATTCTCTTTCGATTTCTTTCCCGATTTTCAGTTTTTCGTTACTTGATTTGGTCTTCGGCTTCTCCAGAGGAGTTTCGTGTTTTTGCTTTTGATTTAGGGTTGAGGTTGCGATTCTGAGGCCTTTTTTGTGCATTTTATCTCTCTGTTTCTGCTTTCACGATTATGTATGTACGAATCGGGTTCAATATTCACTCTGTTGACGTTTTGGTACCGATTGATGCTGTTGTTGCAGTTTCTGAAAAGGTTGTTGTTTTCTGAGATCGTGTATGCTTTGATAATTCGTTTTCTTGGATAGGATGTTTCTTTTGGGTGGATTATTTTAATTTAATTAATTTTTTACCGATTCATGAATTCTCCCCCTAATTGCTTCTGGTGATTGATTCTGGTTTCTTTTCTTTCTAAGGATTTGAGTAGTATGTTAGCTGCTGGGTATAATTAGATTGCTTTGGTAGCTGCGCAAAATGGGGAAAAAGAGCCTCTTGTACAGGATGACCGCCGACTGCAGACAACGGTATTGTCTGCCAGGAACTATTTAATTTCATGCAGACTAGATCATTGTAATTTAGAAATGTTTTGAAAGATTATGTTTTAAGCTGTTTCCCATCCTTTTATTTTGTTTGGTAAATGATTAGAAACAGGGTTCTTTGATAATGATATGCAAAGGCTAGAAAAGCCTATGTAAGCGGAAGGTTGGAAAAGGCTCTCCAACTGGCTATGATCACAGATACAGGATAATTTTAGAAAAGCTTATAACAAGAGGCCTAATAGGAAGCTATGATTATGAAGATTGATTGTAGTCCTGGATTGTTATTAAACTGTTTTTGTAGAAATAATTGGTGCCTCGTGGTACTCCAGGATTTGGAGATTTATACATTTGGTTATCATCAAGGTGCCAAATGTTTGAAATATGCACTTTTCTTTTATTGCCTCAATGATTTCTGCATTTATTTTTGTTATTTTTAAATTTAATTGTCACTTGGCAATCTGTCTTTTATGTTATCACTTTGTTAAACGAGTTCCTTCTTATTCTTCTTCTCCTCATCCTTCTGTGAAAGCTTAGATCATTAAGGAACTTGAGTAAAGCCCATTTGTAATTTGAGAAAAACTAGATCACGATAGATTGAAGCTGTTATTAGAAAACTTCAAAATGCCATTTTTACTTTTGACGGTTTAAGACTAATTTAATTGAAACTGTTATTAGATCACGATAGATTGAAGCTGTTATTAGAAAACTTAAAAACTAGGTCTCTTACTTGTGTGAGAATGAGATCAGGCAATTTTTACTTTTGATGATTTAAGACCCGCATGAATTTCTGAAGGGTTCTTATTTAATTAGACTAATTTAATCGATCAATATTGAGATTAGAAAGTATTTCTTTAAGAAGTTTTTAAATTGGTAGTTCACAAGACTTCAATAACAATCAGGAGGAAATATTACAAAAGAAAAAACTTGATGAGACATGATATCAATCAAACCAAAAATTCTTCCAAACGATGCTTATAGAAAAAGAATTAATAATTATAATTAAAATATTATTATTTAGAGAGAACCAGAGGGAAGTCCTGCAATGAACAAGCATCTCTACTGGTGAAAAATTCTGTTCTTCCTTATCATGCAAGTATACCAAAGAAGACTTATAAATAGATAACACCTCCCCCTTTTGTTTGAAATTGTGGCCAAGCAATAAGTGAGTCAAGCCTTGGAGGGTGGAAAAGGGGGCACACCACTGAACATTTAAACTTAAAGTATCCCAAAGACGTCATTACACAAATGAGTGTAAGAATAATATATGAAGTGGTGATCTTGAGATTATGAACTTTTAGGGCAAAGAGGGATACAACTAGGTGACATATAGCAACGGGGTTCCTTCTTTGGCTTGTGTGAGCTTTAGTAATGTCACCTATAGCAGAATTCCTTAGGAAAGGTCTTATCCCAAAATGGAAAAAATCTTCATGCTTCTTGGCCATCTTTACTTTTTTCTCACGTTGACTTGTACATTAATTGCTTATGAATTATGATGAATTATTATATGATATAGATTTGATAGTGGTGTAAAGAAGTTTTCTTAAACTTTTGTCCAAACTATTTACTTAAAGCAGTGGATCTTATTTTTGTTTTGGCATCATATTTAGATTGGACAGATGGCACTCCAATGTCCAATTTTGTTAAATCTGTCGAAGGCTGGATCTTGAATCTATTATTCATTTTCTGGGCTTGTTGAATGGTGAATGAGCAGAACAGAATTGAGCAGATACAGAAATCAAATGTGTAAATATTGGTGAAGAGAACTGAAGAAAATGTATGGAATTCAATTGGTGTAAATATCAGTGAACTGGACAGAACAGATCAGATGGTGTATATATAAGTGAAGAATAAACAGAAAATTAGTATGGAGATCTTCGTTGATATTTTATATATGGTGCACTGAGTTGGAAGCTTGATTATAATATTCCATGGACCATGGAATGTTGAAGCCAAGGAGCTGTAAAATTGGTTCTTTTTGTGGTTCTTATAGAATAGAATCTCACCATTCATGTCTATGGAGGGCTTTGAAGACCATACCAATTCTTTTATTGTTGACAAGCTTAAAACTGATGCTGGTATTCTGACTTACTATGAAGGAGCTACGAAGGCAGTGATATCTTTCATTTGAATCTTATCCAAACCGATCCATCTGTTGGAACTTACTGTATATTAAAATTGAGATTTCTGGAACAGGAAGGAAATTTGATATGATGAAGATTGCCTTGGTTTTTTTATTCAATGTCTTTTTATAAAATTTTCACTTTTGTTTGCATTACTCATTTTCTAGTAGGGGACTATTTTCTATACTGTTATTTGCAACTTTGCTTGCTCCTGTTTCAGTTTTGCTGTATTCTTGAGGCTTACGCAAGAAATTGTTGAAAATGAGATACTTCTAGTTTTTCCCTCCTACAGGATGCAGAAAAGTTTTATATTTAGGACTCCTTATTTCTGAAACAAAAATAATGTCATTTTACCATGGCATAAGCTGAAAATATCTTGAAAAATATTAGGAATTATTCGTCATATTAATATTGTTTCTAGTCATTTGATGTTCTCCCACAAAAATTTTCTTATCTGGAAGTTATAGCATGTGCGTGTGCCAAGTAATTTTCTATAACATATTGATGCTCATACTGTGAGCATTATTGTACTTTTTCATAACAAGAATCTGCATGTTAGTAAATTGAAAGTTAAACAATTAAATTTGTTTTGCAGGGTTTATGAATTTTCTCAATTGCATGGTTTATCTAACCCCTGGATAGTGAAGAGGCGATTTGTAAATATTCTAATAGTTGACCTTTAGGATATAGTTTGTAGATAAGGATTGTTCTTGTAGATGAATATGGAAACGAAGTTAACTAAGGTTCTGCATAATGGCCAAGAGATTGTTGTGGGTTTGAAGAGAAAAAGGGAAAATCAAGGCACGGCACATGTTGGAGCTGGTTGCAAAGCATTTTTGTCCAAGTTGACCTCATCTAGGAATAGACATGCCAAGTGCAAGAGACTTGATGACTGTGAAGTCAGTTCTGGGACATCGAGAAGATCTTTTCTTAGAAACTATAAAAATTTTAGCAAAAGTGGACTTCCCCAGAGGTTTTTATATTACGAAGATGGGGATTGGATAGATTACCCTCAGATAATTGTCCAGTTGATTAGGGAACAATTTCAGATAAGAAATGCGGCAGTTGAAGTGGAAGTTGATGGTCGTCACTTGCTGCTGGATGCTTTGTATATGATCCAAGTGGAACTGAAAACAGGTGTTCAGCAGCACATTGCCTGGATTGATGACAATGGTCAATGTTTCTTTCCAGAATTTTATTCGGGTGGCACTGTAATGCATCAGTTCCACGATTATGAGCTGGAAGATGGTTCTGCTGTTGCATTATCAGACCAAACAGGAATGAGAGAGATCAATTTGCATCTTGAAATTGGAATAACTGAAGCAAATAGTTCTCAATCAGAAGAGTATATTGAAGAGTCAAATAGAGATATTAGGATCTCTAACATCAAAGAAGAATCTTGTGATAATGGTGGGGATTGGGAAGGCAATGAAAATAAAAGTCGGAAACCAGTTGCTGAAATGCAGGAGGCTGTTGCTGGAATTAAAGAGATTGATTGTTATATGACACCTCCAAACGAACTTATACAGTCAAATGTGGATTCTGACGATGTTAAAAATATGTTCTTAATGGGCATGGGATCTATTAAGAACATTGAGGTACTTGAGGTCAAACGCTGGTCTAGTCATTTAATGCAGGCTAGATTGGATCTGTTTAAAAAACAAATAGAGATAACCAAGAAGAATCGTGGGAATGCCAATGTTCAGTATGGTTGGCTTGCTGTGAATAAGGATGTTTTATCTGGTAGCATACTATATGGGGCAGGTCATTGTGGACCGAAGCTTACATCCTCATATGGTGTTCACCTTTCACCTACAAGCTGTGCACATGTTAGGTATGCATACTATCTTTCATCAGTTCAATAGTGTATGAAATTTAATGGTGGTTTATTGTAAAGATCATACAGTAGTTCTGTTTCTATGAGTATTGCGGACCTCTCAACCCTTGTAAAGCATACTAATGCTGGTCGTAATTTTCTGTTGTTTAAATGGACACCTCACGCCAAAAAAAAAAAAAGTCATATAAAAAAATCACTTCTTCCATTTTCTTTCTGCACTATATAATTATTAACAAAAATCATATTATGGTCATCACAATCTGAAACAGTATATGAACAAATGCAGTATGTTATTTTTAGCTTGCTGTTTGGATAACTCTTTTCTTCTGCTTAATTACTCCTTAAGATTAACTTTTGCATTGGTTTAGTGCAAGTTATTGCGATGATGATGAAAAAGGCGTTAGATACATAGTATTCTGTCATGTGATATTGGGAAACGTGGAAGTTGTCACTCCTGGATGTGGACTATATCATCCCAGTTCTGTGAACTTTGACAATGGAGTAGATGACCTTCATAATCCAAGTCAATATATAGTTTGGAATATGAATATGAACAGTCACATTTTTCCGGAATATGTTGTCAGTTTCAAGGTATCATCAAGTCCTCAACGTGGTAAGTCCTCTTTTGGTTTCTATTTCTCATTTCATGATGGGATTATAATTCTTTTTGAACCTTGCATACTGCATGTACCTTGTTTTTTAAGGACAATTGAACCGGTCCGGATGCATGCATGACATGGTATTTTATTTATTTAATCTCTCTCTGCTCTCTCCCCCTCCCCTG